GCTGCAAACACGTGTTATAGCCTAAATAGAAACTCTGCATACGCTTGCACCTGTTAATCGTTTATATTTTATATTAGTTCATGTTGCTTTTGTGCAATAGATGAATAACAATTTATTTGTTTCAGATATTTTATGTTTAGATATTTCTATTTTGCGGGAGTCCCGTGAATCGGAGCACTCGCCCATCTTGTCCCACGCCGCACTCTGTTGGACTCTTCTCACTCTCGCGGGAGCAGGTCTCTAATCCACTGGCACTTGACTCGACAGTGTATCTTTTATCGTAAGGTGTGCTCCCTTTACACAGTGTGCACGCGATCGCGAAATCGAAAGTGAACTGCGACTGCGAGCACTCACTGCTTCACATATTGATAGCGGCGCCCTGATACGCAAAAATTATATACTATATAATATTAGAATGTAAAAAAAAAAAAAAAATACACATGCGGCTAATCACATGGGAGGACAGACTAGGATCATACCATTATGTGAAAGAAGGAATGGGGACACAAGCTCTGAAGATAGCGAGTGTAGTGGTACAGGCCAGGTACACAGAGCGACAGAGAGAGGCGGGGGATCCGGATTTAAACGCAAGCGTTAAGGTAGGAAGACACTGCAATTTGTTGCAACATCGATCCCCTCAGAAAGAGTCTTCTCAAAAACAGGACAAATAATCACAGAGAGGAAAAATCGCATCAGCACATCCAAGCTGAGGCACCTGATATTTCTGAATGCCAACCTACACTAAAGACTAAAGTGTGATTATTAAAGGTTTATTAAAATGTTAAATAATAGTATCTGTGTATTTTTTTTTTTTATGAAAAAAAGCATAAAAATAAGGCTTTTATGAAAACACTGAATAATAAAATAGCTTACCAACACACAAACCATTCACAATTGCTAAATTGGGCTAAAATAGAAGCCTCAGAGTGATACTAAATAAAGAGCCATTTGGGAGCCGTAAGAGCCGACATTTAAGACTTTTTAATACTTTTTAAGGGCCTTAGTTTTCTCTAAATTGATTTATCAACTTTTAATACTTTTTAAGACCCCGCGGACACCCTGAACACAGTCAAGAATAGCTTAAAGAGGTTGCCAACATTTACTAAACTGTGGACTAGCGTTGACTCTTGCTGCTGATTTGAATGGCGATGCTTCCCGTTTTAAGTGTCAGTTGTGGTTCTGATGTTCACTGAAATTTTCTGTCTTTTTCCCGTGTCACTTGAAATGTGTCCGTTTTGAATTGTTCTTACCAAAGGCTAGACACGTGAAGAAAAAAATAAACGTTGTGGCACTAAATGGCATACCATTCATTCCTGAACTTTCTACCATTCATTACAATGACATTACTGAATGATATATCCTGATCTCAATAAACTTTACACATGCTTTTGATCCGTGAACTAGATCTCGCTCAGGATGCACGCTGTGTGTGGAAGTCTGGCCAGGAGCGGTTCCAGAATTAAATCACTGAGGTGCTCTCCTAACATATATTTTTATCTCGTCCATTGCTATGGTTATCACTGTCAATCACTGCTATTTCAAGAGTGAATCCAGCAAAAATATGTGGATGTCATTCCTAAAACTTTGCAGGGTGTATGTGTCCGAAAAACAAAAGTTTCAAAAAGATTCTGAATGGATTATAGCCTAGAAAGTGTTTTATCAATAAAAAACGTCACTAATCTTATTTTTTTAAATATATATATATATATATATATAAATGCTTAAACACACAAACACATATACGGTGTGTGTGTGTATATATATATATATAAAATACACATGACAATTTATAATCAATACATGTGTCATTTATACATTTATATAATTCTATTATATAATACTATTCATTACTATTTAGATAAAGTATTTAAACCATTTAGAAAAGTTTAAAACGTTTCAGTAATTTGAGTAATTACTATTATTAAATACATGTGATTTTTATTATTTATAATTTTTTAATATATTTTGCAATAATCATGCTGTCTAATCAGCTTCGGAATATGCCACACCTGTGAGGTGAATGGATTATCTCGGCAAAGGAGAAGTGCTCACTAACACAGATTTAGACAGATTTGTGAACAATATTTGAGAGAAATAGGCCTTTTGTGTACATAGAAAAAGTCTTAGATCTTTGAGTTCAGCTCATGAAAAATGGGGGCAAAAACAAAAGTGTTGCGTTTATAATTTTGTTCAGTGTAATACTTTTAAAATGTATAGAACCGCATTTTTATGATTTATTATTACAATTATTTTTGGGGCATCTTTTTGACATTTTTATTAACAGTCAAATAGCAGAAATAAAAGAAAATGACAGCTGCATGAAAATACAACACAGGATGATTTCCAACTTGCATCTCCTACAAGAGCAGCGTGGCTAAATGTGTCAGCGAGCGTATGTGGCCACAACTACAACATTTATTTGTGTTTTGTTAAGCTTTTTTTCCCTTATGCAAAGACAAGGACACACATAAAACAAAACTTGGCTGAGAGTTAAAAGATGCAAGAACCATATTTACTACAATATAGAGGCCCCTTTTACACAGTAACACCAGTAAATTGCCGTAAAATTACCGGAACGACTTTACAAGTAAATTAAAAAATGTGCTGTTCACACAGGCAACGATGTTCCGTCTTTTTACCAGTAAAGCACCATTCACACATCAATTTCAAAATACCGGTAAATTCTGTGACATCATTAACTGGAAATTACCTCTAAACGGCTGCGCCTCCCGGTGTTGTGTTTGTAAACATGGAGGGGTATACGCGGTCAGTGTTTTTGTTGATGTTTTCACTTTTGTGTCAAACGTTCACATTCATGCAGCTGCTTTTGGCCCAGAGACATCGTATTAGACGACTTTAGACATTTCTTTGACTTCCATAAACAGCGTGGAGGAAATGCGTCATCTGCGTCAGAACAAATTTACCGGTATTTTTGAAAAGGTCCTGTTCACACATGATCTCTTAACGATAATTTACCAGTAAAGACTATATGTGTGAAAGGGGCTATGGAAAAATACTGGGGGCTACAAGCAATCAAAAGTCGGCTAGACCTTTAATGGCAGAGCAGTGTCAGGAAGTGGCCCAAGTGTGCAGCATCATTTACCAGCCGTGAGTGGATTTAATATTGTTGAACTGGAAATGAATTGGCCCCATTTCCATAAATGAGAGCACTCAAGCATGAACAAGGGAGGGGGTCATATCTGAGGTGCACAGAGGCAGGAGAAGTGGATGGCGTTTTAAATGGAGCTTGAAATGGCAGGTTTACCCGTGGAGTGGAGGACAGGCTCTGCACGATGAAGACCACGGGACTGGGCGCCGCTTTTATAGCCTGTACTGCCTCCTCATGGCTGGCATTCTGCAAATCCACTCCACAAACCTATTTATTACAAAGGACGGAGAAAAAAAAGAGAGGATAGAGGGAGGAGAAAGAGATAAGAGGGGATTTAAAGGGGACTTGCAGGATTTTCTCGTTTATTTTGCAAAAAAACAGGTTATTGAGACCATGATGTCACAACCATGTGCACATCATAAAAAGGTAATTTACACATTGTTTACATAAGGTATAGTAGCAAAAGTAGTTGAAAATCAATTAAAGCCATTTTTAGTGCAAGAAAACCTTTCTAAGCAGATTCAGGGATAAATAAAAGCTACAAAACACAGAATATGGCCCCTTTAAAATGGTTAGGAAGCAGAAAAGACCAGAATATTAATGTCAACAGATAAAGCGGTTATATTAAGAGCAAATGTGTCTGAAGGTGTCTGTGTGTGGTTCTCAGACCTGTAAGATCTTGTCTCCTGTTTTAAGGGCACCCGTGCGTCCAGATGGGCTGTTTGGCAGCACCTGTTTGATGAAAATGCCCTTCAGTTCCTCTCCGTTCTTCAGCCTCTTTATAACTGTGCGGCCGCCCACTATGCTGATGCCCAGAGACTCCTCCGGATTTGGCAACACCTCCACCCTGAGTCGAGATAGATAGATAGATAGTATAATATAATATCTAATAATATAATATAATATAATATAATATAAAATAAAATTATTAAAAAGCATTTTCCGTTTCGGTTTTCGGCCAAGTGCATCCAGAAATTTCGGTTTTGGCACAGAATTTTCATTTTGGTACATCCCTATATAATATAATATTATATAATAATAGAAAAAAGAAGAGCAGAGGCTTATTTGATTCATTATCTCTGATACGAAAACATCAAACCAGCACATCACTTCCTGTCCTTATCACGGTCAACTGAGCTACAATAACAGAGATGTCTGTATTTGTTTGTTTGTATGCATAAGGGTGATACACAAGCCTTATAACCTTCCTTAGTGAACTATATATAGAATAAGAATTCTAAAAGAATATTTGTTACTTATTTTAACCTTTATGGATGTCACTATTTGCAAATAATAATTTAAATATTAATTTATAAAATATCAAAATACTTTTATATGAAAAGTACATTTATAAAACATGAAGGATTGGATGAATGTATATGTATGTATGTATGTATATATATGTATTACTATTTCTTTTTAAACCTAATCAACACTCAACTTTAAAAAAAAAGTATGCAAGCATGTAAATTGCACATAATGCAGTTTTTACTAAATCGTTTTTTACTAAAACTTTTTACTTCTAAATTGTAAAAATTCAATTTGTTGTTGAAATATATTAATTTACACAGTGGCTCTCATAACTTGTTTCATAACAGATTTATTTAAACATTAAATAATTAAGACATCACTAACAGGTAAAGTGAAATATAATGAGTATATAGTCAAATATTTTGCGAAATGCTCTTCTCTAGACTTCATTTATAGAGAAATAACGAGCTGTGGCCACTGATGACTTCCTGAAGTAAATGAAATGCTACGTGACGTTTTGTTTACAAGCGGTTTTATTGCCGTCTTTCCGTGGTTGAAACAGTGATTGAGCGATTACATGAGGCATGAGATGTTCATTCATGTTTATTTCACATTAAAACTAGTAGCCTAGTAAAGAGGAAGGGATGATCGTGCTGCCGTTTGAACTGAAGCATTTAAATGCGATCGGTCACGCCACATCAAAGAGCATCAAAACGGCATTTATTGTTTGAATTTCCTGAATAAAATGGACATAATTTGAAAGATGATACTTTGTTTCTTATCAAAAGTAACAATATATAAAACTGGAAGTTTCCAATGAAGTTCCACTCGTACAGTGGTTAAAACAACGGTGTATTTGTTCGGTACACATGCATACCGAACCGAAAGACTGTACCGAAAATTTTCGATCCGAATATGTGTACCGTTACACCCCTAATATATATATATATTTTTTTTTTCCTTTTTTTTTTTCATACACTCTTCATTTCCAAAATGTTAATTTTTTTTTTTTTTTTTTCTTCATTTTCATTTTTTGCTTCCATTTTAATTATTGTTACTACTTTGTTAATTCCTTTCCATGGAAATCTCTTGATTCACACAAACTCTTCAGTGTTTTTTACCTGCGTGGGGGACCCCAGTGACTGAACGCAGGTGTCTCCTCACCTTCTCCCTCCTCTCTTTCAGGCAGATCACTGCAGACAATACATTTACCGTGTAGTTATAATAAAAAGTATCATTCCTAAACTTACCATCAAATTCTAAAACATCAATGATTATTAATGCCGCAAAGTTGCTACCTGTGGCCTTCTCTGATTGAACCGGCAGCCCCCTGGTTTCTTCTCTTCCTGCTGCGAGAGGAAGTGCGCTGTGCAGATCTGCAGAGAGAAATCGAGCACACAAATCCTTAGATGTATTACAGTCCCAGAGTCAGTCACATATGCTAGATTGAATCAGACTCATCAGGTTTACGCAGAATAAACAGCGATTCTGACTTATTCACACTTGACAGATCTGTCAGGTCTGCGTTCACAAAAGCAAGTGAAATTATTTCTTAAATATTTCACTTGATTAAACAGCATGAACAAATAAAATCTACTGTAATATCAGGGAAGAATAAAGTATGATTAATAATGGATAAAGAGGAGCGGAGGAACTCAAAGTCATCCAACAGCTTATAAACTTATTTGATTTAAAATCTCTGATACAAAAACATTAAATCAATGCATTACTTCCTGTCCCTATTAAAATCATTACATAAACACAGCTAGAACATACCACTAGAACAGATTTTTTTATTTGTTTTTGTGCTTTGAGCTTAACAAATTGCATAGAAGGTGCTCTATGAAACAAATAATAATAAAACATTATAATATATTTATTATATTATATAAAATACATTATTATATTGCTATTTTATAAAGTGTTAAAATACATTATTTAATAAAACTTTACACTACTACTACTACTAGTAATAATTATTATCATTATTGTTCTTATTATTTAATGTTAGATTTATTTATGTTATTTAATTATATATTTAATTATATATATATTTAAAACATTTATATTGTTTATTCATAATTTAATAATAGTACAAAAATTTTCCCTTTCTAAAGATCAATATTGTGCAGTGAAAAAATTAATTAATTTGTTAATAATTTCCAACAACATGTATGCGCATAAACCAAAAAGCAGTCTCTCTCACTCACACACACACAAATTCTCTATTACACTGATGTCATAAACAGCTGCCCGAGTCTCAGCTGCATTTCACACCAATTTAACACCTTTCATTGTGTAGTTTAAAACGGTGTTTAATATCCATTTCTCACTTTTCCTCAATTTCTCTACCACACCTGGGTTATAGATTATCATAATTAACTCACTTTCATAATTAAGATAAGCATGATCATTTTCTAATACTTGTAACATATCAAAAAGCATAAATCTCTAAATTATGATTAATGCCACAAACGGCTTAATTTGAATATCTTATTTTTACATCTTTAAAATTACAGTTTTGTAACTGCCCTTGTTAATATTTAAGCACCACATCTGTCCAGCAGGTGGAGTTATCGTTCTATTAGGAAACATAATCACGGTTATTAAAATTCCACACAGGGCACCAATCTTAATGAAAACAAGCACCAAAAAATTGTCAAAAAAAGTCAAAATGACGTTGTGTTTTTAAAACGTTGTCACCTAAACCAAACTAAACCAACGACAACATGGCAATTTGTTCATGAACAGAAGTTAGCTGAGTGATGGATAGAGACGTGTGTGTGTGTGTGTGTTTATTACAGATGGAGACTCACTCAGTGTCGGTGTCGGTCAAGGTAAGCTCTGAGCCTTCGTTTCTGGAGTCAGAGTCTGCCTCGCTGTCTGCTGCCTCTATCCATGTGGCCGACTGACCTGAGAACAGATGTATAAATGTCAAACTGCAATGAACTTCAGTATATTAATACAGAAATAAGCCTTGCTTTAAAGACAAACACTCACTAAGGGGAATGTGCGGGAGCTGCAGCTGAATCTTCTCAAAGCTTGTGCAAAGCTCATTGTCCACCTCTGCGAACTGAACAACACACAGGTTCAATACACCCCAAAATAAAAAGAAATTATATCTTGAATATTCTTAATAAAGAGTACTAAGCCTGTTTTCAGAAATTTTAAGATGTTTAACACTGTGACAACTTCAAATACTCATTAATTAAATGCATTCATTTTTTGTAATTCTGTTAGTGTATGGTATTATTTGTTATAATGGATTTAATTTAAATTTATGTGAATAAAAATATTTAATTTTAAAACCTGTTCTTGTGTATCAGGTTGAATGTTGAACTGGTAGGGGTTGGATGGTGTTGGCTCTTCCCAGGAGCGAGTCTTCTCACTCAAGTATGAAGGCAGACTGTCGCCCTTGACCTTGGAGCTCCCTTGATCCTTCATGGTGTCCATCTCCTGCTCTTCATCATCCTCATCTACAGCCATCTCTCGCTCCAGGACGGGCAGGAGGTCAATGGTGGTGAGGGGAGAGGCGTAGCGGGGCTCAGCGTCCAGGATAAGCTCTGGCTCCTCATCCAGATCGTCAGATAAGACAGAGCCGTTCCCAAAGTCCTACCCACAAATAAAATTATTATTCAACTTAAATTTTTAGTCTGTTTCTCACTCAACGCTAAGAAAAAGTCAGTTGTATGAACCATTTTTATGGTGCATTTTTCAAACTTGGTAGTATAAATCCACTACTTTTATATGGAAAAGAGCAGCTTGAACATTCTGCTAAACATCTACTTTAGTGTTCCACAGAAAAAAGTCAGAATTTGACTGAATTAAAACAGAAAAAGACCAGAATTTGCATTTTTAGGTAATATATTTCTTTAACTCCACATTGATAATAGTACATAAACCATTTTTTGTGGAATTTGACCTTGCAACCTTCTGGCGGCCAATTCAAAATTTTTAACCACAAGGCTATGTTAACCAAATACAAGCTAAAAAGTTCATATTTATATAAACAGTGCTAAAAAAATGTAATCTTTAGTCAAAACAAGGCCCAAGAGCTGTGCAAAACTCTAAACCTGTTAAATATTCATATTTATATAATTCGTGCTCAAAAAATGTCATCTTTAGTTGATTCTTAGAAAACTAGTCCAAGAGTTTAACTAAACTCAGTCCAAACTTGTCTGACTATGTATTACTTTTCGAAGAGATCATTTTTGGGTGAAAAATCCCTTTAATCACACTTTGATAGTAGTTTAGAAATCGACTCTTGAGGGATTTGAACCCACAAACTTCTGGCAACAAACCTAAATCTTGAACCACAAGGCAACATATACAAAATACAAGCAATAATTATTTCATAAGCACCCAGAAAAGTGCTGTATTAAACTCAGTCCAAACCTGCCCAACTTTGTTTCATTTTTCGAGTTGATTCCCCCCCCATACCGAAACTCCTGAAAGCGAAACCCTATGCTACTTTATACCCCTTTTTAACATTCCTCCCCCCCTAAATCATCCGCTAACACAAACGTCTGATGTTGGAGTGGGCGTGGAGGGTAGAGACATCTCACCTCCTGTCTGTCTGCTGCATACAAAGCAACTCTTTCTATCCCTGCAACAGGGTGCCGGAGCTTGTCCTCCTCTCCCTCTTCCACACACTTACAGATCCCAAGAGCTGAAAGCGCACTTTCCCCCACAACGCTCCAACAAGCCGACTCAGCACCTTTCTCACTCGCCCCCCCACCCTTGCAGCGAGCAGAACCAATTTGCCATGAAAAATGTGCCGAGTCTAAAATCTTAATGGCGCAATTAGTCTCGTTTTGAGTAGATTTACGGCAGCACTTGACTCGGCCGCCTCAATTACATCTTTGCTAAAATTCAAGGATAATACGGTACATTTCAAAGGCCCATAGAGGGGGTCATGCATCACCTCCAAAAAGATCCCTCTCATGAGGCTCGCTCATTTGTTCCTCTTTTTCCTCCTCAGCACCTTTCTCACTCGCCCCCCCACCCTTGCAGCGAGCAGAACCAATTTGCCATGAAAAATGTGCCGAGTCTAAAATCTTAATGGCGCAATTAGTCTCGTTTTGAGTAGATTTACGGCAGCACTTGACTCGGCCGCCTCAATTACATCTTTGCTAAAATTCAAGGATAATATGGTACATTTCAAAGGCCCATAGAGGGGGTCATGCACAGCTCCAAAAAGATCCCTCTCATGAGGCTCGCTCATTTGTTCCTCTTTTTCCTCGCTCATCTTCTTTTGCTCAAGCTCTTTTTCTTTCTCGCTTCAGCTCTCTTTGCAATAATGACTGCAGTTGGGTTTCTTTGCTACATATTGATGGACATAAGTGTGTTTTCGGATGTTGGACCAGGGGTCTTCAACTTTTTCTCATGACAACAACAAAACATTTAGCCTAACTTTAGCTTACTAACTTCGGCTTTTGTTAAAGTTAGGTTAATATTGTATTTGTAAATTATATTTTAAATAATTTTTAAATCAAAATAGATCAGTCTATAATTGGCAAACTCCCTGCAGTACCATATATATATAATAACCGTTTACTGGATTTTTTTTAAAATTAAAGTTTATATGTATTGAAGACTGTGGGATGTTTTATAAGGTATACTGTATATGTGAATATAAAATTATAGTATTGATGTAGTGTACATATATATATTTACATTAGGGCTGCACGATAAATCGAACATGCGATATTTAACGCGCATCTTATCAGTAAATCCGGTTCTTTAATCAGCGGTAAATCTCCACATTCACATAATATACACTATGGTTCAAAAGTTTTGGAATCGTAAGTTTTGTAACTTTTAGAAAAAAGTGTCTTTTTTCTAAAAGTTACAAAAGACTCACCAAGGCTGCATTTATTTGCTTAAAAATAGTGTAAAAACAGTAATATTGTGAAATATTATCACAATTTTAAATAACCGTTTTCTATGATAATGAATTTTAAAATGTAAATTATTCCTGTGATGCAAAGCCTAATTTTCAGCATCATTACTTCAGTCTTCAGTGTCACGTGATCCTTCAGAAATCATTCTAATATGCTGATTTGCTGCTCAAGGAACATTTCTTATTATCAATGCTGAAAAGAGTTACGGTGTAACATTTTTGTTGAAACCATGATACATTTTTTTCAGGATTCTTTGATTAATAGAAATCTCAAAATAACAGCATTTATTTAAAACAGAAGTCTTTTGTAATGTCTCTAATATCATTTTTGATCGATTTTATGCTAAACAAAAGTATTAACTGCTTTCAAAAAAGTGAACTAAAGGAGTATTCTGAATACCTCTTGCATAGATCGGAGAGTGACGGCCTGTTTTCCTGCTGTTTGCTCATCAGCGCCCTCTACAGGCCAAGAGGACTGCTGCCCACTACCTTTGTCCTCTGGCTGTGTAGTTCACAGACACAAAACAATGCAAAATAAACTTAGTGACTAAACGGACACATCATGTATAACACTGTGCCAATAGCAGGATGAGCAAAACATTTAACTACAAGCTAAACATGCTTTTATTATGCCTATCTAACAGTGTTACAGTAACCTAATTCACATTCATTGTAAACATCTGATTTACATGGAACTCTGCTTTAGGGGAAAAAATTTAAATGGGAAATTGTGAGATAAAGTATTAAAATTAGAGATTAAAATAAGATATAGTCATATTGTAAGATATAAAATCACTCAGTGGTGAAAAAAAGACACTTTAAACACTATAAAGATCCACAAGCCAGTCAAAGTAACATTTTGAAGAAATACCCACCAATCTTAAATATTTACCCAAATAAACACTTCCAGCACTGAATGTTTACAGTATGAGGCCATAATTACATATTGGCTCTTACCACCAGTGGTTTCCTGATCCCAAGGTAGACTCTCCCAGGCGGAGCAGATTTGAGGACCTCTACGGCCTGGGCCAGAGAGCATGTGTCTAGATGAGTGTCATTGACGAAAACCAGCTGGTCACCCGGGAGGAGCCCGCCGTGAATGTCCGCCACCCCTCCAGGCACCAGAGAGCGGATGACAATCACAGAGCGCGCAACGTCCAGAGGGTCCTGCAGAGGGCAATGCAGACCACAGGAAACACACAAACAGAAAAACAGAGGGGGAAAAAAAAACATGAGAACAGAGTGAAGAGCAATGGTGACCCTGATTTAACCTATACATCACAGTCAAATCAAAAAGCAGATCAAGAAGACTGACTTTTGAAGTTTCATTTATTTATGTTTAAATTTTAATACAAACATTTAATTAAAACAGCACCTGTGTACCAAACATCCCAAGCACTATGGTATCAATCACATCTCTGGGGAGCTCTGCCATAAAACTGCAATTCAACCGATTTGATGTCTCCAACAATATATTTCATGACCCATATGGGCGTCTTTTATGTGGCGAATGACAATATAAAAGTGATTAACAAGTAGTTATTTGAGAGTAAAAACTGAAGCGGGAGAGCAGTCATTAGTAATCTCATCTATCTGCCCATGAACATTTACGACCAACCATGTCAAAAGACCTGATGAACGGACGATCCATGCATTTTTTGAGATTTCTGACATGAATCTCTTCTTTTGTAATGTTAAAAATAAGTATGTTGTTTTTGAGTCATTACAGTATCTGCAGTTGATTTTTGGACAAGACCACAAAAGACATGTCAAGGTTCAGACCACAATGACCACTCAAAAAAAGGAAGGAATATATTATTGACAAGGATTTTTAACAGCAGAGGCCCTGAGTGAAACTGCGGACAGCAGACCAGGAAACTTCACCCAGCCCAACCATAAAAAGTGGGTCAGCAAGCCCGGCAATTACTGCCCCCTGATTACCCAGTGAGCCACTGCTGCACGGTAAGCAGATGAGAAGAGAAAAGCAATTTCAGAGCGAGAGGAACTGAGGCCTGCTAGAAGGGAAAGAAATTTAAAAAAGACAGGAAAAAGTTGGAGAGAGGATTTGAAGTTCCACTCCAGCTGGCGCTTTAGGAGGACACAGGCTGCATTGTCCGGCTGCCGGGTTCCAGCCAAGCGTGCTTTGCTTTCCAAGCCCTGCTCTCATCCCACATGGCCACGCATTAAAATTTGCTTCCAAAAGAGCGTGACTAACTTGCTGGAAGGCCAAATGAGGCCAACTTCCCACTCCAAACATCCCAAGCACTATGGTATCAATCACATCTCTGGGGAGCTCTGCCATAAAACTGCAATTCAACCGATTTGATGTCTCCAACAATATATTTCATGACCCATATGGGCGGCTTTTATGTGGCGAATGACAATATAAAAGTGATTAACAAGTAGTTATTTGAGAGTAAAAACTGAAGCGGGAGAGCAGTCATTAGTAATCTCATCTATCTGCCCATGAACATTTACGACCAACCATGTCAAAAGACCTGATGAACGGACGATCCATGCATTTTTTGAGATTTCTGACATGAATCTCTTCTTTTGTAATGTTAAAAATAAGTATGTTGTTTTTGAGTCATTACAGTATCTGCAGTTGATTTTTGGACAAGACCACAAAAGACATGTCAAGGTTCAGACCACAATGACCACTCAGAAAAGGAGATAACATATTATTGACAAGGATTTTTTTACAGCAGAGGCCCTGAGTGAAACTGTGGACAGCAGACCAGGAAATTTCACCCAGCCCAACCATAAAAAGTGGGTCAGCAGGTCCAGCAATTACTGCCCCCTGATTACCCAGTGAGCCACTGCTGCACGGTAAGCAGATGAGAAGAGAAAAGCAATTTCAGAGCGAGAGGAACTGAGGCCTGCTAGAAGGGAAAGAAATTTAAAAAAGACAGGAAAAAGTTGGAGAGAGGATTTGAAGTTCCACTCCAGCTGGCGCTTTAGGAGGACACAGGCTGCATTGTCCGGCTGCCGGGTTCCAGCCAAGCGTGCTTTGCTTTCCAAGCCCTGCTCTCATCCCACATGGCCAGTGATGTCAGTAGAGCAGCTATGAAAAAAAAAAGCCAAGGGGAACAGGCTAGCACAGGGGGCTTCTAATACGACAATACGTCACCTGCTACGGAATAAAGACACCGATCAGTAAGGATGTTCACATGAGAGATGGAAAGAAAGTGAGCTAGGTTGCTCCATTTCTTATTCATATTTCCATCCGAGTGCACATATGATTTAGATGGCGTATAGTACATGGCTCATTGGGGGAGCAGCTGTCTTCCAATGTTACAGGTATGAAGAACATCTTTAGATCCAAAGAAAATGACAATCCCAGAAGTCCCTAGCGGGTGGTGCACATTACAGAGTTTCCACACAACCACTGACAGCTTAAAATAGTCAGTCAAAATTGGATTAAATTAGTTTAGGTCAACGCCAACGGACATGTCACAATGTTTTCCTGTGGACTACATAACCTTAAGGTGATGATACACGGGGCAACTTTTTGAGCAACGCTGTTGGGCAATGATGCCGTCAACGGGCAACCAGGTGAGACACAGGGCCCATGACTGATCTAAAGTATTCAGATAGAAATTTGTTGCCCATTCTCAATGGGAAACTGCCCAAGCAGAAGTCGTGGTTGAAACTGTTGGTTAGCTAACGGATGGGTATGAGCATTGGCGGCCGGATTGGATATCCCATATTTCTTGCTGGGCTAAGGTTGGCTACTGCCTCCTCCGAGTGCCAAGCATTCCCTTGGCTGGCCCTGCTTGTCAAACGGGTTGAAATTGTTCAGCGTGGTGTCAGGCGGACAGTAAATCTGCTGTTTCGCAGGAATCAACGGCAGGCCAAGTCATCTGTTTTGCTCCTGCGCTCTGCCGCACCTTCAATCTTGCTGAACAGAATACCAGGAACTCCAGAACATCTGCCTTTTGCTTTCTTTTCTCTTATAATTCGTCTTTTGGTTGTTCTCACTGTAGTTGCCTAGAGAAGAGAACACAGGCTACCACTTCCATGGCACGGACAAGCATGTTGTACAATTACATAAATTCCTTGAAACTACACTTTAAAAATAAAGATTATTTATTGGCATCTATGGTTCCATGAAGAACATTTAACATCCATGTAATCTTTCCACTGCACAAAGATTCTTGATAGTAGATAAAGGTCCTTTAGTTCATTAAAAGTTCACATTAAGAAAAAAAAATGGTTCTTAAGAACTGTTCATTGACTAACCATTACGCCACATCTGTCCAAATGTTGCCATTCTAGTTTCGAAAAATATCATGACATTCAGAAGTAAAATAAATGGATGGCAGAATGTTACACACTTTGTTTGCTTTGACAGTTATTCGCCGCTTTCTTGCTACTAGCTATGACACTAATATTGGCAAGTGCGTTGACAAGTCTTATCGCAAGACTTAAAAAAAGAGTTGGGAATCACAAGGAGGAGGAACAATGCATAAGCTGTTTTTTATTTTTAAAACTTATAGCTGTGGGCAGCTGTTTGGTATAAGAACAGATGGCACAGACAGTGCAGGCATGACAATGGTAGTAAATCCAGACACCTCTTTCTTTGGATCTGCTACAAACTGGATCCTAATATTGTAAGACACCATTGCGAAATGACAACACGATGTTAGAACAATTGTTCACGGCTGAAAAGTGCAATGCATATCCTTCTTTAACATATTAACATTAAGGATGGTGTCCTATAGTCGATTTGGTAGCTTATTCTCCTGTGACAGTAATAAAATAGCCCTTGGTCAGTTTCTGCAGCTTCAGGCCACAGAATAAATAAACAACAATAAATAAATAATAACACTCTGGGATGATTTATGACCCTCCTTTAAAACATTCACTGGATGAGACTAAATGCTGTATTGATGTGCAGGTTAGGCACTTTGAACCATCGAAATGATTCAAAAATGCATTCTCTCAGATCTCTTCTCTTTGGACAGCATGAATTATTGGAGCCATCCATTCACTACCGATGTTTCAAACTAATTTTTTTTGCACACCGAAGGTTAACAGCCCACCTGCAAAAGGCCTTTCATGTAAATGTATATGATTCCGTGGAAAATGGCATTTGTAAACACAAGAACCTTCGGAGAACATGTTGCAGTTCAAATTCTTCCTGTTCTTCATGCTATTATTTCACTCTACAAGTTTATTATTTTTGTGAAGGGAGACAATTCTGGGGTAGGGCCGACATCCTACCCAAACAGAAAGTTACGCTACGCCACGTTCCCTTTGGGCAGCTTACATCTACCCTAAACCCTTCGCGGGAGAGCTGCTCAATCATATTTCATTTGAGCCTGGCTGCACCGTGACTTCATACGCACACTTCAATTGTTAGCGAAAACTCATAGTAATGACTTTTAAATGGTCATGAGAGTACAATCCCACTTAAAACAAAACCACCACAGCCCGACCCTTCAGATCAGTTGTTTGGCTTCAAGAAGACCTTCATTAATCTCCATTACCAGGATGGCTAGTACTACCAAGGGGGTCCTTCTCATGTTGCATGTAGCTCTTCTTACTTCAAGATCTCCTTGTCAGAGCAAAAAAACTGAGGCGTGACTCCAAATGATTTCACCGTCGCCACTTCACGTCACTCACGCAGTCAAGGGTGTCATTTAGGGAAGAAAAACTCCCTGGTTTCCAGCTGTCAGTGTGAGCTTGGGCTCCCATCAATCTAGCTGCAGTTACAAGGTCTCCTTGCATTAGGGGTAATACTAGTGGTTGAGACGAGAAGAAGAGAAGGAGGGCGGTAAGAAAGAGGGGGAGATTGAAGGTTCTGGAAGGCTTCGAGCATGTCTGCAGGTCTCGAGGTTGCCTACTCGGCCTTATCAGCTCAGGCCTCTTACTGGAGAGAGCGGCAAAATCAATTTCCCCCTTGCAGACTGGAGAGGCCCTGGCCCGTCTGCCGCGGGAAACAGAAAAGAAGTCAAGAAGAAAGGCTGAAAGATTCCTCCTCCATTAGAAGAGCATAGAAGACCGTACCCATCATTGCATTGAGGGAGTTGCTCACTTTCGTCTTTCTGGCAATTCCTTACAGCTCATACATTTATGGACATTTTAACACTTCTTTCACAACTCTGGAAATGCCTGCACCCCCCTCCTCCTCTGAATCAATTCCCACCCATCATGCATCAGGCCCTCGGGTTGAAAAGCGTTCGTTTCTGTGTAGATAAGCAAACAGACGGGGCTAGGTGGAGGGGGCTCAGCTGGTGCAGAGCACGAAGACGGTGAGTTCGACCGAGGGGAAGCTACACAGGTCAATATGGCTTCCAATAAACCCCAGGGTGCACCAGCAACTGCTCCAGAAGATCTGCAAAGTAAGCTTGAGTGCTTCAGCCTCTTCACGACAATGATCTATGATCCAAGTTGCAGGACTGCAAATTTCTTGTCTGCTCGCCTTGGTGGGGATGAGATGATCTCAAATTCAGTGCGTCGATGCAGTATTGATGCAATTCATTTGTACTTGTTCATGCTGCAAAAACAAACAAAAATCCCTGCGTAGCTTCATACAATCTCATAATAGCAAGAAAAAAAAATAAAACAAAGGACTTTGAGTCAGCAAAATTAATTTTTTTATCATAGCACAGAGCCTATAGACTCTCTCCCAAGTTTCCTCATCCCTGGCTCCATCTTCATTCCTTCATTTATCAGAGAGATGAAGAGAAAGGAAGAATTTAAGGGATCACTGCTCAGGTTACCACCATTGAGCAGCAAATGTAATTCTGTCCATGTAGCTGCGGCCCCCATCACTAACGGCAGCCTCTGACGAGGAAAGAAGCATAACTTACCATTAAAACATGATCTCTGTTCAGTTTCGCCACGATGCGGTGGCCATTTATTACAGTCCTGATGAAGCTGCGAAAGCATAGGCATGCTTTTCTCCTGCCAATACTGCTTCCCTGCATGAAATCAATTGGAACCCAAGGCTGGATAATATAAAACACGAGGCGTCCCAGAGGACCGGCGGAGTGCAGCTCTGCGGGAGAGGTTCTGCATTCTAAGTGGCCTCATTACATGATCACTTCTGATTCAGGATCAACGTGTAGTTATGTACTAACCCTGATTAGAGGGCTAATGAAGGAAGGAGGAAAGCAGCTTTTCGTACTAAGTGAGCAGAGCAAAGGGTTTGACGGCTGGCACAGGGCCAGATAAACAGCGGCCCTAGTCAGAAAGGTTTCACTGCTTTCTTTTGTTCAGTGTCCAATGACTTGTGACATCAACACACGTTTCTTGTGATCACACTTTGGGAAAGTCAAGGGGAACAATTGAGTCTGGTCTCCTTTTTCCCCTACTTAAAAGATAGTTGATAGAAAATCTTGAATGGCATTCTTGCCTTTTTTTTTTTTTTTTACAGTAAATATGGATCAATGTTACTGTTTTTGAACAAATTTAAGTTTGATTTGCTATTTTGTATTTTTTTATTATAGTTTTTGCAAGACGACATAATTCCTTAAATGTTTTGATAAAGATCTGTTCTAGGGCTGAAACGATTAGTCGACATTATCGACAATAAAAAATTGTCGACAAATATTTCTGTTGTCGAGTAGTCGTTTGATCTCATATGACCTAATGTAAGAGCCTGCAATAATGCGGTTTGACTAGTGTGGTGCTGTAGCGCAAGACTGTGATTCAGCCCTCCTGGATGCAATTCAAGAGAAGAAGACAGCGCTTCAGAGCAAACGCAGCCGCTCCTGAGGTTGACTTTATGCAATAGATAGCCTTAAATCAAGCAGCTTTACAGTATTAAACATGAAAAACCAGAGTCAGTGTCGCTTTCAGTTAGAATTACAACTTGATTTTCTGTTATAAAGCAGCTCTCCAGTACGGAGCTAGCTTATGATACAATCACTTTATTAGTGGGGAAAAAATATATATTATTTCATTAAAGTGATATTTTGGTTTGTAGAGATCAAAGCTTGATCTAGTTCAGGACTGTTTTGATTATCATAACCCTATAAGGTATTTTAAGAGAGATTATGTTGTGAATAAAATAGTTTAACCAAAAATAAAACTTCTCATCATTTACCTTTATTTTGTTTCTTATTCATATGACTTAAAAGGAGATGTTAGGTAGAATGATGTCATTCAGTTACTTTTTCATATAGCTAAATAAATGGTGAATGAAAGTTTCTGTCATCTCATTTTGTGTGCCAAATATATTTATTTATATAAATGAATTGTATAATAATTGGAATTACATAATATGATTTTCAAAAGCTGAAATGATTACCTTTATTTGTTAGAATATGTATAACTCAATATTTTAACTAATTGCAAAAGCTGAATAATCAATCAAAGTTTACTGATTTATCAGTGAAATAATCCATGATTAGTCGATCAATCGTTCTAACAACCGTTAGATGAATCGATTATCAAAATAATCGTTTGTTGCAGCCCTAATCTGTTCTAAATTGCAGATGTATAAAACTCCTGGTATTACTTAAACCTAATCTTAACATACATGTTCACAATAATGGAATATTTTTAGAATGTAACAGACCATGAAGACGTCATCATAATACTTGTATAGTTAATTGTGACTGGACCTCTTCCTTTTATCTGTTTGCATGCTGAATTTTGATTGGTCTTGTTTTTACTGCATATATTTATTAATTTTTAGCTGGTTTTACGGTGCAAGGTGACTGTGTCAATTCTTCCATGCAGATGACAACACTCAACACTTCTTGTAAACACTTCCTGAAATGTAAATCGACCTTTTCATGTTTTTTCTCAGAGACAAAGATAAATATATGGAGTTACCCCCCTCCAAAAAAAAAACAAAACAGAAATGAGTTAATTCCCCACCTGGTAGTCTAGTATGCTGAAGCCAAGGCCTCGCTCTCCTTTCTCTAGTTCTAGCACCTGCACATTTGGAGACCACAGAGCTAGTTCCCCTTCATCTTCTTCATCACCCTTCTCCTCATCCATCTGCTCTCTCTCAGGGCTGCTTGGCTCTAGGGGCTCTTCTTTATCGTTAACCTCTTGCTCCACTGCTGATGCCTGACAGGCATGAAAAGAAAAGCACAAATCACGACAAGCTAGTAGTGGTTCTTAATTGGTGGGTTGTGACCCTAAAATGGGTTGCAGGTCTGTTCTGTTGGGGTCACTTAATCAATCAATTGCTCAATCAAACTATAACTTTACAAGACAAGTTTATATCATGTTACAAATTTTTTATATTATAATTGAACTTTCTGGGATAAATATAATACAATACATTTTAATCAATCTAATGGATAATAATTATTTTAATTGTATTTTGTTGTACATTTTAAAAATGACATTTACTCCTACAGAGTTTAGCTCCAACTTACCTTGACACACCTGCCTGGAAGTTTCTAGTATGCCTAGTAAGACCTTAATTAGTTGGTTCAGGTGTGTTTAATTAGGGTTGGAGCTAAACTCTGCAGGACACCGGCCCTCCAGGACCGAGTTTGGAGAGCCCTGCATTAGAGGATATGGACAAACCTGAAACTCTTCCCTCATGCTCTCACGTAGACTTGTATCTTTGGCAAACATGGAGAGGTTATTCTCAATCTGTAAAATTATTACAAAATGAGCAGGCATACATTATTTTGCAGTTCAGTTTTGAAGTATTGGCCAATGCAGTGGCCAATTGGCCAATCTCTGTGTGTATGTATTCGTTACCTGCTCCTGTAGGCTGGCTGAGGGGCTGGATGAGTGCCACTCTTCAGATTCAGGGTGGTATTCGCTGCCTTCTTCAGCTAGGCGTCTGCAGCAAACCAAAGTAAAGGGAGGAGGAACCTCTCTGAGGAACGCAACAGCCTCTCGTCTGGACTTCCCATACAACTGCACGCCATTCACCTGCAAATACAACACATTTTATTGGGATAAACTTTACTCACAAGCGTACAGAAAATCTAACACTGCATGGTTTCCACAATCAAACACAGGGGTACAAAAATAAGGTCACTTATAAAGTGTAACTTTTTTTCTTTGACAAGGATGTTACAGATCATATTAACATCCTATGGGGAGCTTATTAGGTTGGTGACTATATTACACTCTGTCTCGGTGGCACTCACTGGCCATCTTTGATTGGTATTTCATGGAGCGGGCAAGCCTGAAGCTGCTATGGCGAGTGGGGGCGGCACTGTGCCATCTGCCCAAACCAGGGGGAAGCCATAGTCTCCACACATCCTTTCCCTTATACACACACATATACACACGTACACACCATAGCTGTCCCACTGAACTTCTAAGCATCTAGCAAGGCCAAGAGGAGTACATTAAGATGTTAAGGTTACACTCAAATATGGGATTTTCATTAACGATTATTCCGAGACTCCAACAAATGCATTGTCCCCAGGACGTAGCCTTGAAGTACACCATATCTCTCTATAAGCCACTTCCCCTGCAGCCCTGCAAATCTCCCCCGCTTTAACCATCCAGGCTCCTGCCAACAGCAACAGGCTGAAGGCACAGCGGCCCTTGGCCACCAGACCAGGTGGGAGGGGGAAGTTTGGAGGGAAGGGGGCAGGAAGCAAGGCCAGTGGGGAGGTTAGGGCAGGGGACAGTCATGCAGATGGCCTCGGTCAGACTCAGGAGCCCTCCTGCCAGAACATCCACGGGCCAGTAGCAGCAGCAGCAGCAGCAAGCCTTCCTGGAGGCTTGGTGCTGGCAGGATGCAAAGGTCAGTGGTATTAAAGCATCCGAGAAGAGGTTCACCAAAGCAAGCCAAGAGCAAAGCTGTAGGCTGGCCAAACCCTGGGAGCCCACGTAACCATAATGCCAAAGAGTGAGGGAGCAGGGAAGACACACGTTGGCAGTGTAGATGCTGTTTAAAGCACTTTAAAATGACTTTACCTCCAGAAGTTCATCCTCTGGTCGAAGCAGCCCATGTTTTGCCACCGGACCCTCAGGAGCCACTGTGGAAATGTAGTGGTGTCCATCAAAAGAGTCTAGTTCCACACCCAAGCGCATTATGTGTATTGGGAGAAGCTGTAGAAACATCATTTTTATGGTTTGACTCACTCATTGTGATCACTACTGAGCATGGCTGGGTGAGATTTAATATATATCTTGATATTTAAGTGTTTGCTCAAGAAGGGTTTCTTGCAAGTGCTAAAACACAGTAAAATCAAAATTCCACATGGTTTTTCACTAAATGAACACAAGGATGATATATTTTTTCTTTATGTGCACCAATATTACAATATATTTTACTAAAACATTTGAATATATTAAAAGCTTGGTGGGGACTTCAATAGACCTTTTTGTGTGATAATTCAAACAAATTGTTCAGGGTTTTGAATCGATTCATTGTAACAAATTGATTCACAGAAATTAATTAAAACTTATTAACTTGTGAGGAGCTAAAAACCATCTTGATATCTTAACGCTGTCATACTTGCAAGTCGTGAGACAAAGAAGAATTACACGTGTCCAACTCGCTACCATGTCTACTATATATCATGAATATTTGATAGATTGCCCTGCACTACTATATAGATGAATGAACGTGAATGAATCATGAATCGTGCTGTTTCCACGTTACCTTGGAGTACTTCTGCAGCTCAATATCATCATCTATGACAGGGTCAAGCTGTACAACCTGTAAAAATAAAATAAAATGCAAATAAAATAATGTGAATAAAAAAACAAAAAAAAACTAAATGAATTGTAAATAAATAAAACCTAAAAAAAAAAAACCTGAATGCGGTCAACACACTCCCTTTATGGTAAATAAAACCAAACAACAGTGTGTCAGCACATGAACTCAAATCCAACAGGAGTCAATTGATGCAATCTACAGCCAGATTTAGCTGGTCGATCGAACATCTCTTATCACAGCATGCGTAAGTGCCGGCGGTTTTTGCTGATGTGCAGTTTGCTTCATGTTTAATTGAAAGCCGCACTTAGCATCTGTTAACATTACTTCCCCAACATTTTTGCTTACCATAACATCGTAATGTGGACCAAGAGCCTGTTCCCATTTAGCGCGAAGCTCCATCTCCGTCAGCGGGGCCGGCTCTTGCACTACAACACACACACAATAATGAGAGCAGCGTTTAAAGTCAATTACCGCCATTTGGGTGCCCACTGTCCGTGACAGAGTGAGTGGAAACGTATGACATTAATGTCAGGTGCCGCATACTAGCATGGGATTGATGTCAGGCTGACGGATGAATATAATCAGAGGGCCGAGAGTGCGCCGAGGGCAAGAGTTGAGAGAGGAGTCAGCAGTGATACTGCAGAAAAAGACAACGGGACGTCTGGGAACAGTATCGGCTGGAAGCCCAAAAGGCAATGGAGGCAAATAAATGGGTGTAACTGCATTTATGGGCACTTGTGACCCTTAACTATGATATGGGGCGGGAGTAGTAGGGGGTTTCAGAGAAATATGCTCTGGGTAAGAAAAGAACAAAGTTTTTCTGTAACCTAAGCTGTACATTTAACAGACATTTGCCAGCAATAAGGTACAATTTGGTCTCCCGTTACTACAAAAAATAGAGACACATTAAATATGTTGATAAAAATAAGCTAACATGAATAGTACCTAGTTACAAAACATCAAATTTCAGAATACCACCTTAAAATGTAATGTAGTGCTGTGATGACAAAGATGGATTTTCAGCATCATGATCCTTCAGAAATCATTCTAATATGTTGATTAGCTGCTCAAGAAACATTTATTATTATTATTACCATTTAATTATTATTATTTGCCGTTTATTTTTTATTTTTGTGGATTTTTTTTTTTTATTGTCACTTTTGATAAATTTCATGCTTCTTCGCTGAATAAAGTGATTTTCTCAAAATTTTAAAAATAAATAATTAAATAATAATAATTGTACCCACCCCAAACATTTGAACAGTAGTGTATATTTTATTAAAAACAAAAATGGCAAACCTCATATAAAATGAATGAAAAACAAGCTTCTTTTGAAAAAGTAGAAGTAGTAGTTTTGTTCACTTGTACAAAAAGCAGAAAGAAAAAAAAAAACTTTTTCAAGAGTTTCAGGCCCTGTTGTGGACTGGTATGCTAAATCACGTTACGGTAAAAAGTAAAGTCAGTGAGTGAGTGAGAGCGAGGGATGCAGACCTGATTAAATTAGCATTTCTAACGCCTCACTCACAACACCATTCATCACAAATGTTTGGCTACATTAATACAGCAATGCATCGCTTCTACACGTGGGACGTCAAACCCCAGCCAACATCTGCAGCCCAGGTGCGGCACAATGGAAAATATGGAGAACAGGGGAAATGGCTTGTTATGTTTATGTATCAGGAAAAACTCCGCTGACACTGAGAACAAATGTCCACCTCCTATCCAAACGTCACTCAACATTTAAAAGAGGGCGTCACATGGGAGAAGTTACTACAGACCCACAAAAGTTGAGTAAATGAGGTTTTACATAGTACTTCCTGTGGTTTTTAACTGCTGTGGGCATTTCTGGAGCAACTGCGGACTATAATTATACCAACGTGGACCGATTGTCACCACTTCTTCATGATTGAGCGCTCTCGCTGTCAACTTTCGCAATGATTTTAATGGGTCGAAACCGCTGGTGTGACAGAACTTGGAAAAAGCGCAGAAAACCCGGCAGCAACTAGTCCGTGTTGTCCACATTTTTTTAACATTAGGGCTGAAACACATCTGTTTCCAGACACTTTCAACTTTACATGACACAAAAGAAACCATATAATGGCACTTCCAGGGTAGTTATCTTGAAAATCGACAGGTGAAATTTAGCGAAGCCTCTCAGTTCACTCTTATCAAATGTCACGTCAATGTACCAAAACAGTCGCGCATTATCCATAAAGAAAATATTTAAACATCTACACACTCACATGGCAATATAATTTCTTAAGACCACAGGGAAAAAAGGCGGGAGGTGAAAGCATGATTAAAGCTGTGTGTGTTTTGACTCGAGGGCGGCTATCATTTTACACGTGCTATGATTTCAGCTTTGGGAAATGAGTCCCTGACAACCAATCACTGTTATCCTGGGCATGTATTGGCTCAGTGCAACAGAACGCTTTATTTAGGAGTTTGGCAGGTACCGGGTCTTGTCCGGATTAATTAGGGCAGAATGTAACCAGAGCTCTGGGCTGCTTCGGCTTCAGCCAATGCCCGCTCTTCCGCTTCCAGGTCGCCTATGTCCATATTTATATCTGCCGGCTAACATGACTGAAACAATGCCTGCTAAGCTCGGTGTAGAAGCTGGCCTGAATCTGACCTCCATCCAGAGGGGAGCGCCAAGGATCGGATTCATCAGTATTAAGCCCGAAGTATACTTCGGTTTTATGCGTATGATGGGGTATGCGTACAGTGTGTAACAAATTCAGCCATCAGTGTAGTATGTGTGACTGTATGCGTGCAGTCAAATTTTTGCCTGTATGCTCAGCTTCTGTGAAATTTTTTGTGCCAATTAGTTTGTCCAAAAGGAAGAAACGCTGCCCTGGCTAGTCGTTTCACATAAAAACAACAACAAACTACTTATTTTTTTAATTATTATTTTTAAAAACAGGACAAAAATCTGCCAACAGGCTATGAAAATTCAACTTAATTCAAAGGGAAAATAAGATTTTATTCCCCATCAACAGATAATTGTTCTAGTTTTAAGCATAAACTCATTTAATTTTGCTTGATTTGCATGATGTGGCGATTAATTAATCGCAAATTAAATATGGAATTTTGAAAAAAACCCAAAAGATCATTTAAAGCCATTATTGTGTTAAATGAGAAAATTATCAAGTAGACATTACAAAACAGTAGCTTTAGAAAGAAATATTTGATTTGATTCAACATAAAATGTATTACTCAGAAACATTTAGGCTACAATGGCCTAACATAAACTATGGAACATAAAAGAAGATAATTTGAGAAACATCTCAGTATTTTCATTGAAAGTCATTGGCAACCAAATCAGCTTGGTTTCCAACATTCATCTCTTTCTTCTGGTTACCAACATTCTTCATTATTTTCTTTTATGTTCCATAAAGAAAGTAAGTGATACAGGTTTGAAACGACATGAGGGTGAGTAAATGATGAAAGAATTTTTCTTTTTGGGTGAACTATCACTTTATTTTCATTTTTTATGTTTTAATGAAATGATACTCTAAATAAGAAACTAAAACTGCCAGTAGATGGTGGTAAATGTCTTTATGAGTAAGTCATTGAGTCATTCATTCATTCAAACTACTGATTAATTCAGGAATGAATTAAATGGCCCTCTTTATGAATGTGCCATTGAATCATTGGTTCACCCGATTTGTTCAAACCGTGGATTCATTCAGAAACGAAACACTGCTGCATTTCTTGGAGATAATATTTTTGCTGGCAAAAACTGACAATATTGTAGCCTATCTATACACAATATTAACTACTTATTTACCGAACTGTTGTATAAAATCACATTTGCACTTGTGCTATTCGGGACAAAAACAACACTTGTGAGATATTGCTTATTATATGACATAAATATGAGACAAAAACTCATACAGGGGCATTTTTGCCCCAATCTCTTAAATTTTAAGGGCGTATAACTGCATTTTATATAGGCTACATCACATAGTGAGTTGTTGCCCTGCATTATGTTTGTTAACAGTCAACCATATGAAATGTAAGATGATGTACAGGTCTGGGGCGGGGCGGGTGCATTAAAGGGATAGTTCACCCAAAAATGAAAATTTGATGTTTATCTGCTTACCCCCAGGGCATCCAAGATGTAGGTGACTTTGTTTCTTCAGTAGAACACAAATTATGATTTTTTACTTTAACCGTTGCAGTCTATCAGTCATAGACTGCAACGGTTAAAGTTAAAAATCATCATATGTTCTACTGAAGAAACAAAGTCACCTACATCTTGGATGCCCTGGGGGTAAGCAGATAAACATCAAATTTTCATTTTTGGGTGAACTATCACTTTAATTGCGTTAAAATATTTTAACCGTGTTATTTTCCCATAACTAATTAATTAAAATTAACGCGCTAAAACTACAGCCCTAGTTTAGATATTTGGAAAAGACAAAAATACTGAGGAGGATTTTTTGCAGTGCACGCAACATTTAATGCTATGACTTTATAAATTTAAGACCTTTTAGGTCTTAGTTTGTGGATGGGCAAATTAAGACTTTTTAAGACCGGATGATGTAGGATGTAGGCGTAGCATAAGCTCCGGTCAGAAGTGACAGTTAGTGGTAGTTAGTGGAAGCTCGAGATTGCGGTTTATAAAGTTTTAATAAGTATGGATATTTTTTTTTTACACAAACGCATTGATTCACTTCAGAAGCCCTTTATTAATCCCCCGGAGCCGCATGGAGCACTTTTTGTGATGGATGGATGCACTTTTTTGGGCTTCAAAATCTCAACCACCATTCATTGCCATTATAACGCTTGGAAGAGCCAGAACATTTTTTTTTATATAAATCAGACTGTATTCATCTGAAAGAAGAAAGTCATATACACCTAGGGTGGCTTTAGGATCAGTAAATCATGGGGTAATTTTCCCTTTAACGTCCTTAGTGTGAAAAATATACTAGTAATGGCGTAAACTCGAAGTTTCATTTCCTGCATGAGCACCCGGGCTCAAAATATCAGTAAAAAGCCAATCAAAACAAAGAGAAGGATGTTTTTATAGGAGCAGAACAACTGAGGCTGGTCTGTGTGAAGTCTGTGATATCAGCCACATCGTTGAGCACCTGTATGTGAGCGAACAGATGTGTTTGTGTGTTGTGAACTCACTTTTCCCCTGCAGCTGTTGTTTGATCCCACTCAGAGCAGAGTCCATAGACTCCACAACAGAGCCCCTCTGAACATCCGCCCGCGCCTTGATCTCAGACGATCTCTTCAGAGACACACGCGACGACTCTCTCTGGACTATATCAACACACCAGTATATAAATATACACACTTAATTCTGAATCAACATATATTTGTAACCAGACAAAAACAATCATTTATAAAGATGTAAATATATATATATATATATATATATATGTATGTATATAAAAAGTCCAAGCCAGTCCAAGACTATTGAGGATCATAAAACAGTGTGATTTGACACAGCGAAACCTAATACCATATCAGGTAGGCCTCAAACTTGTATTTTTACAGCAATAAAGGCTCCAACAAAATAGACTTGAAATTCAAACACTCTGACACGTCAACAGCATGTCTGTCTTGACCACCACAGGCAGATTTTTCCTATATCCTGTGCATGAAACGAGCTGCCATATAACCATTATACAGACATTTGCTGAAAGCCTGTGATTTTCCTATATACACATGTATGTGTGTATATATATATATATATATACAGTATATATATATATATACACACACATTTCCTTTAACTTAAAAAGGGAACAAAATGCGATAACTACATTAACTTCTAACTTTCAAAGTATCTCATATCGATTCAATAAAATTTTATATACATTTTTATTTGTACAATTTTTACATCGATTGTCAACCCTAAAGTCAACACTGTATTTAGTGATTTACAGATCTTAATATTTATTTCTTTATTTTACTTTATATATACACATTATATCTTATTTTGAAACTTAACAAAAGTAAAGTCTTTATATTTCCCAACAGGGCAGTGCCAAAAACAACTTACATCCATAAAATGTAGGGAAAGTTTTATTATTTTTGAATCTATGCAGATCTGCATTGCTTTCTGTGTTTGAATTTCTTGTTTTGATGCAGTTTAACAGTCCAATAATTTCACGTTATTTATTTTCTTAATTTACAGAATACGTTCAAATGAAAATATATATTTATTATTATTATATTTGATCAAATGTTAAAATTTTTATTTTAAAATGTTTTTTAATTGAATAACAGCTCTGTAGGTACAGATCTGATCCTAATACAACATGTCACTTTACCTTTATCTAGTGATTTTTCTACGACTGTCCTCTTGGGCGAGTTGATCTTCCTAATGTGGGTAAGGTGTACGATATCACCTGTCCGCTTCATTACTTCCAGGACTTCCTGGTTGGTGAATCCCTGGAGGTTCACGCCATCCAACTGTTCACACAGACACAAAGACAATCAAGAAGTCACTTCAGGCCTGGCTAACCGGCTCTCCAAGTCGCCTCAGTGGGACTGATTAGCCTATACCGTGAGGCTGGGGAGAGCGTGACAGCTGACCGCGTCCACACTCAAACCCGTTCTTATTAAAACTGTGAATCAACGTGAGATGAAAGAGACGTCTTGCTTAGTTGGCGTTCTGTTCTGTCAGAGCGCTCGTACGGACACGGGGCTAATTAAGGTAGAGCTCATTAAAAAGTGATTAAGAACCCACTGCTATTATCCTGTCGTGGACATGGATTTTCCCGCTCTGCTCAGCGGCGCTGCCTGGAACCACGTTCTTCACGAAGACCCCCACCGCATCTGACATGCAACAGAGATGAGGGATGCGAGGAAATAATAATTAAGTGCATACTGATTAGTCGCTGGATTTCTGGGAAAACAAGGCAAAATATGTTTCTTACCCTTAGCAGTCAAAGCGTTGTGTCCGATTATGGAGATCCCGAGGCTCTGGCCTTCCTTCTTTTTTAACGCAACTTCGTGGATTTCGTAGCCCTCCAAATTTGGCTGCAACATTATAGATCAAATACTGCCATTTGTTTTATTGTTTCCAAACACTGCTTTTTTGTTACAGGTTTAATCTACAAAAACATATTTGGGCCCTGTTATTAACTCAAAATCAATAGAAAAAAATTCTATATCAATAGAAAAATAATTAGAAATTACTATGAGGCATCCAGATGTACTTTAGGCATACATTATGAATAGTGACTCTTATTAGATTCCCATTTCTGTAGTACAGTTTGTTACGTCCCTTTTGTTCTACTTCTGTGTTTTCTTTTGTTTGGGAAGTGTTTGTGTGTGTCTTCTGTCCAGGAAGAAGCTGATTGGTTCCTGCAGTCTAATTGGTGCCACGCCCTGCCTGATCAGCTGACTCCTTGCTGCCTATAAGAGACTCCGTCATCACTTCCTGCTTCAGCTTTTGTGCTCTCTGGACACTGGGAGGGAGAGAAGAGGAGGGGTGTGTGTGTGTGTGTGTGTGTGTGTGAGAGAGGGGTCTAAACCAGGACAGGTTGTTTTCCAGTCTCTGTCCCTCCTGGCTAAGCATTGAAGAGAGTAAAGCTGACATCAGTAGGTGTGTATTGAACAATCTGTTTTTCAAGTTCCCACGTCAAATGCTTTCCAGTAGAGCTGAAGATATGCACAGAGAAAAGTAATCTAAATAGGATTACTGCAAACACACGCATACTGTACGCCGTCCTACATGATGCCTACTCTCAACACGAGTCGCTTTTGTACCATTTCATCTTATAACTCTTCCCCTAATGTTGGCATTTAGTTAAACATCTAAATGTCAACTTTATATTTTTTTATATTGTACAAAAAAAAAACAATATAACACGCTTTTATTAGTTTAACAACAAAGTAATAAACGATATATAAATATATGTACAAAATTCCACATTTACAGTGCCCCTAAAGGGACACGATTGTTGGATTAAAAAAAAAAAATGAACTAGGAGGAGAAAACAACCGTTTTTTGAGAGAATGCAACAGTTTTGCGAGAGAACGCAAAGTTTCTCAAGGGAATGCAATAGGTTGGATAGAGAAAGTATCTCGGGGGAATTGTTTTGCAATCTAACGCAAAGTTTCTTGGAGGAACACAACAGTTTGGCAAGCTAACGCAAAGTTGCTCAGGGGAACACAACAATTTTGCAAGTGAACGCTTAGGCCAGATTTACTAAACAGGGCAAATTCCCTGTGGAACACCACATTTTTTTGCAAAGGAACGCAAAGTTTTTCAGGGGAATGCAACAGTTTTGCAAGTGAACACCAAGTTGTTAGGGAACCCAATTGTTTTTTGCGAACAATTAAGAATGATTCATTCACGCATCAGACATTGTGATTCTAGTGAATAACATTCTAAACTGCATAAATTGCATTGGGTGTAACAATGTTGAATCACATATAAACTCAACTTAATGGTTCAGAAATTACCTGTAATTCTTAGCAAAATGCATTGAAGAAACGTGTAGGAAACACAAACCTTATCGGCCACGCTGTCTGGCAACACGGTCCTGACAACCATTCCTGTTGCCTTGCCTCCGACAATCCCAAATCCCAGGCCGGATCCATCATTCACCAGCTCAATCTCCTCCACATGTCCCCACTGATCCTGCAAAAGACACACACAGGAGACAGTTTTCAATCCCTTGTCTTGTCTTATTCATTTAGAGGTCAGTGGGCATTGGTCATAATTTACTTTAGCCACAAAACTGTCTACTTAAAGAATAAAGATCCATTCAATCACCTTTGATTGTCCAAATAGGGAGCAACTGACGACCCAAGACCTGTGACTACATCCTGCGGCAGAGTCGTAATAGGGCACGAAATGCTAATGAACGTGTTAATGGTGTGATCCCACAGTGGCTGATCAATGTCAGGGTCAGGAAAGCCCACGAGAGTATTTGTGATCTCACGTCAGCTGCACTCCTAATCACCCAAGTCTCCTTGGGCTCATATAAATGACCCGCAATCAGTACATTTCTGTTCTCTTATTACCAGGCCGTTATCTGCCGGGTGTCCACCTCTGCAATTTTCTCACTATCTTATGAAACCCCTCCTCTGCTGTTCGGCCCGCTGCTCTTTCGAAACAAAGCTTTACACTAGCGCTCGTCCTGCTGTGAGGAAAAAGAACCATTTTAGAGATAAGAAGTCTCTTTCTGAGTCCCCAAAGAAAAACTCAAGTCCTTTTTTGAGATTTACTTAACTCAGGTCGAAATTCACCTCTGTCATGATTCATCAGTGTACATATCAGATCAGGGGAAAAAAACTTGTCATTCTTCAAAATCAGTCAATATTATGCAATTTGTATGATGTTGCATAATGGATACATATGGATGTGGTTAGGATTGGGTTTTGTGTTTTTGTGTTTTGTGCTTTTTTGCAACTAAACATTTGAGTTGAGGAAACAGAACAAAACAAAACACAAAAACAAAACTAAAACTAAAATGCAAAACAAAACACACAAAACCAAAACCTAAAAATAAATGAACAAAACAAAGAATTAAAACCAACAAACAAAAAGACAAAACAAAATGCAAAAAAACAAACAAAATAAAAGCAAACAAAAACAAAATAAAACCAAACAAAACCAAAATAAAAATAAATTAAACAAAATGAAACAAAAAGACAAAACAAAAATAAAATGCAAAACAAAACACAAAACCAAAAACTATTTCATAAAACTAAAAGAAACAAGACAAAAACAAACTTAAAAACACTAAAAATAAAACAAAATAAAAAAGGCAACACAAAAAAATTAAAAACAAAAACATACAAAACCATTTAAATAATTATACTTCTGCAAAAAGTATAATTTAATTATTATTTAATTATATCATTTCATTTTTGAGTTTGCTACAGTAAATCTGTTAGAGGATTCAAACACTGATGACCCAAACCCAACATATACAGCTATATTTCTTTCCACAAACAGCTGCATTTCCTTCAGGGATCTATACATTATACATCAGCGATGGTAAATGAGAAAGTCATTGTGGGAGGCAGAAAACATCTCCCTTGGGAAAAGGCTTGGGTGTTATTCCTCCAGGAGTGGGAATTCCAAAGTGCAACACAAGTCTAGCCTGCATGAAACTTTCCAATAGAGTATAATTAGGATTCCAGATATTTTCAAGGGCTTCAGAGGTCTGGGTCTACAGAGAGATAGAAGGGCAGGGGAAGTGAGGAAAAATATACCTCAGCTACATTTGCTCCCGCTCTCCTCCATTTAAGGAATGGAGCAGTGATCCCTTGGGGTCCTAACAATCTTAAATAGATAAATATTTTCTCAGCTTTAAACGATAAGAGAATAGATTGAAATGGTGGAGGTCTGTTTGAATATGGGGTTAGTGAGAGGACATAATACATGCTTGCGGAGTGACGTGTTCATTGCTAAGCTTTTAAGCCGACATATGATGATTGACATTAATGATTCCCAAGTCTCAGATTGACAGGTATTTAAACGTAATAATGAAAAAAATAATGCATTTGAAGTTTTACTTAAAAAAAGGCTTGAATTTTACATGATCTACAAGGGTGAATCTCAGGAAAACACGTCCAGGTTAAAAAAAAAATCATTAAATCACAATCATTCACATGATATATACATATCAAATATATATATATCAATATAAAAAAAAGTTTAAAATATTTCTTTTTAACTTTTTAAATATAAAAACAAATAATTTTCTAAAAAAGATTACAGTAAAAAAGGAGTAAAAATTTTATTTTGAAAATGAGCATAAATGAAACGTGGGCCTTCTACAAATAAGTATAAAATAGCGCTGACAAATTGTAAATTAACAAAAGTGTACGCGAATTAATCATTAATCACACTAATTCACAATTCTAAATAAATAAACAAATAAAAAAAATTTTTTAATTTTTTTTTATAACAAAAACAAACATACTAAAATATTACATTAAAAAACTACTAAATTGCATTTTTAATTAGCATAAATTAAATGTGCAACAAGCGTGTATAAATTATGGCTGACAATCAATTAAAAATGTTAAATAGTAAATTAACAAAAGTGTATGCGAATTAATCATTAATCACACTAATTCACAATTCTAAATAAATAAACAAATAAAAAAATTTTTTTAATTTTTTTTTATAACAAAAACAAACATACTAAAATATTACATTAAAAAACTACTAAATTGCATTTTTAATTAGCATAAATTAAATGTGCAACAAGCGTGTATAAATTATGGCTGACAATCAATTAAAAATGTTAAATAAATAACAAAACTAGATAATTACTCATATTAATTTAAAATATTTGCAATATTAAATATATTAACAAATATATAATAGAATTCATTTTAAAAATGTAAATATTTAAATTATTACAGTAAAAACAATCTACTAATATGTCTAAATTAGGGCTGACAATCAATTTAAAATCTTAAATGATTTACAAAGCTTGAGAATTACTTGAGTTAAACTGACAAACCTAGTATAAATACTACTAAAATTATTATTATTATTATTAGGTGTAAAAATAGGTTTTGTTTCCTTTAAGAATATTTTTCCCCCGTTGATTTTGAGAGTGAAATATCATGTGTTGATGTTCTTGACAGGTTTTGTGAGATTCATTCAAAAGGAATGATTAAATTTTTTTTAACAGCACCATAATTGCCAATATCACGTGTTAGCAAAGCCTTCTGTACCCTCCATTGCCTTCTGCGTTTGCGGTGTTGAGTCATGTTTGCGATAAAATCTATTTTATTTTATAGAGCGCAACAAACAGACACTTAATCTGACTTATAAACAGCACAACTTTGTTGACATCTGGTGACAGAGAGTTTGGCTAGGCAACAAGCAATCAAACGAAAACCAGACTTTTGCTCCATTAAACACAACTCTGAAATGGAACAGCACATGAATTAAACCAAAGTCTGGCTCCGATATGCAGGACATGGTCCCGAATTAAGGATATTAAACATTTCAAATCGAAAAAATAAGCATCAACAGAGCAGAAATACACAACCTAGCTTGCAATGTAAAGACCAAATGAAAACTACTGTCATTTATCCAGCTGTGTGCAGTCGCCGTTAATTTGAGAGCGGTTAAATTTGGGTACTTAATTAAAGTAGACGAGAGGGAAGCGTTGTGTTTATTGTTAAAGGCTTAGGTTAATGCAGTTCATCTACTGGCTGTTGGTCTTTCCAGCCTCATTTTCTTCCTCTTCCGAGATTATTTCTTTCGGTGGAACGAAGGTCTTTCGGATGAACCTGAGAAAGTTTGCGCATTTCGTTCTCCTTCTGTCTTTGGTTTAGACACGGTTATAACAGGATGTTTTAAGGGCTTTATTTTCCTGAGGATCACATTATAATAACGGGAACATGACAAATAAATATGCTCCTAGTTTAGGCTGAATTACCTTTTATAAATCAGGCAGGTTAAATCAAGATCCTTAAGCAATTTGTTATAATTTCGGTCACTGGATTTGATAATCTGTATACGTTTTGTGTAACTGGTTGAAATTAAAACATCACCAATATAAATTAAGCTCAGTTTGTTAGGCCTTAGGAAATATTGGCCTTATTAAATAGGTAAGATTAAACCACAAATGACATCTGCACTTCATTAATACATTTAAAAATGTTCATGAAATCTTACCAAAAGAAACTAAATTAGTTACTGCTAATACTAACAGTACGTTCCTACATAAAAGTACTCATGCTACTTATAGAAGCACGTTTCCGCTACTGAATAAAAAATAAAAATAAAAAAGGCAACAATTATACTATAAATGCTACTTTATCTAACAATTATAATGCAATTCACTCAGAGCTGCGAGAAAAAAGTTAGAACTGCAAGATATAAACACAGAATTCTGACTTTCTTTTTTTTGCAATTCTGAGCTTGCATTTCACAATTGTTTTTTGTTTCCACAACGGAATAAAGAATAAAAAAACGTAAATGTGACTTTTTAATCTCACACTGCACACTTTTTTTCAGAATTGCAAGATAAAAACTCAGAACTGGGAGATAAAAACTTTGAATTGTGAGAAATTCTGAATTTTGACTTACTTTCTACTGACTCTGTGGCGGGAACAGACTTATATAGCTATTAACTTAAAGGGCCAGTTCACCTAATATTGTTATTTACAGTACGCTTCCTCTCGTCGTTTCAAACCAAAATGTGGTTATTTTTTCTGAGGAAGAGAAAATGCTTTTTTCCCCCCCATCAATGATAGTTTGAAGTTATCACAGGCTGCAATTTGGAGGTCTAATCAAATATGGTGAATGTTTGACGCAATGATGTTTAGTCATGAGAGAATTGATGGGCAGTCGTGGCCTAATTGTAAGAGAGTCTGACTTGTAACCCAAAAGTTGTGAATTCGGGTCTCGGTACCAGCAGCTACACGTCTAAAGAGTGAGTGAGTGTTTGATGTTACTGACATCCAACAAGTGCCATAAAGACGCCACATTTGATTTGATTTGTAAACTATCAAGTTACAGTTCCAAAGTAGCTTCCTCAACTGCTGGAGAACTATGAGAGATACAAATTCCAAGTTCACTGTGGACAACACAATGCGGTGACATTTCAAACAGTCGTACCATCTGAATGGGTGCAGATGTAGAGAGTCGGGGTTTGGCCACAGAGTCTCTGGCCACCACCAGCTCCACTCTGTCTTTCTGTTGCTGGAGGAGAGCGATAGCCTGCTGCTGCGTCACGCTCTGATCCAGAGGAATCCCGTTAATTGCCAGAATCTGATCATTCTCCTGCAATCTTCCATCCCTGGAGATAAGAAATATCATTATTACTACCCACGTGATTCATTTCTTTTTAAATAAATAAATACCATGCTAAAATGTTATTGATATCAACATTATAGCTTCGTAAACCAATTCTTAAATAGGTACAATTTATATCTGTCTGCAAATCTAATTGAAAACATTTATTTTAAAAATTAAAATTTATTCCTGTATGTCCACACAAAGAAAATTACCTTAAACAACATGAGGATATTTGTCGAACGTCACGTGTACAGCAAAAGGGACAGACTTCTGAATAAATCACAGTGTTCTCACTCACCTGTCTGCGACGCTCCCTTGTTGCACCTGTCTGACGAACACACCATGACTGCCCACCCCCTCTGGTCTCAGGCCGACCACACTGAAACCCAGACCTCCAGATAACGGCTTCTGCAGGCTGATGAGCTCCGTCTTCCTTCCCTGCGGTAAACAATCCAGAGAGAAAGCACCATCGATACTAAAGGTATAAACAACACAAACTGAACCAAAACATAATAGAAATTATGTTCAACGTTTGGCACATCAAATAAAACAATGTTTATCTAGAGAAAAATGACATAAAATACATCCCACCATTGCGGCCGCATTTATCCATCTCTGAAGCTGCTCAGAAGATGTGTTAGTTGAAGCTGTACCGTTGGACACCACGGATCCCAGGCTGCTGGACGGACGACTCGCACTGACGATCAGCTGGCCCTTCCTGGAGAAACTGAACTCTGTGCATGTGTCCGGAGGCAAGCTGTTTAACTACAAAGTGGAGAGGACAAAGTTCATTCTAAAGCTATTCAAAAAAAATTTAAAAAATATATAATAATAATAATAATAATAGTCATTATTATTACTGCAACTAGAAGTTTGAATGATTAATAATAATAATAATAATAATAATAATAATAAGTGAATGGATGTGTTAGACCAAATACTTAAATGTTTCATATTCATTATTTAGACAAACATAAATCGTGCCTATTTACAAATTAGTTTGAAATATAATAATACAAATATAACAAAAACAACAACAACAACAACAACAATAATGGCTATTTATAAATTTGTTTGAAATCTATTTTAATAATAATAATAATAATAATTTAATGCATGAGTTGGATACTTAAATGTTTCAAATGTGTTATTTAGACAAATATAAATTGTTTATAAATGTTATTTATAACAAATTACAAATGTTATAAATAATAATTTTTATTATAATATTATAATATAATTAATAATAAACATTATTATTATAATAATAATAATAATAATAATAATAAGTGAATGGATGTGTTAGACCAAATACTTAAATGTTTCATATTCATTATTTAGACAAACATAAATCGTGCCTATTTACAAATTAGTTTGAAATATAATAATACAAATATAACAAAAACAACAACAACAACAACAACAATAATGGCTATTTATAAATTTGTTTGAAATCTATTTTAATAATAATAATAATAATAATAATTTAATGCATGAGTTGGATACTTAAATGTTTCAAATGTGTTATTTAGACAAATATAAATTGTTTATAAATGTTATTTATAACAAATTACAAATGTTATAAATAATAATTTTTATTATAATATTATAATATAATTAATAATAAATATTATTATTATACCAACAACAACAAAAACAACAACAATGATAATGCCTAGTTACGAATTTGTTTGAAATTCATCTTAATAATAATAACAATAATAATAATTATTATTATTATTATTGAGTTGGACTAAATACTTAAATGTTTCTAATTAGTTATATAGACAAATATAACTTGTGCCTATTCACAAATTTGTTTCACAACAAGCTCTTTAACTATGTAGTGGAGAGACCCTGACAGTTCTAAATAAATTAATTAATACATACATAGACAGATACATAAATAAAATCTTTGATGCAAGCATTATCGTTCAAATAGCTTGTCCAAATAATTGCTCTACCAAATATTGTATAAACCATATATTTCTGAGATACATGTTTAAGTTATGTTTATGCATACAAATATAAATTGTGCCCATTTATGAATTTGTAAACCTAAAAACCTATTAAACCTGGCTGTTTTAAGTATACAAATAAATAAAGTTTATTTCAACCATTATCTCATACAGCTGGTCCAAATAATTTGGGATAAATCATGTACTGTTCATCTAAAGGATAAAACAGCCCACAGAGGAACAACCATGTCCTACAGGCAGAGGAAAGGAAGGGAAAAAAATAAAAGGGAAAAAAAATCAATACATTCCTCTGCAGTATTCGCTAGTCCCCAGCAGGTAATGTATTAATGACCTTTAGACTCTTACTGTGGGAACTTATCAGTCTTGTGCTTATTTAGTCCGGGCTGACAGAGCAGGTTCCAGCCTATTTCATCGATACATCTCCGACAAGGCAGTTACTCAAACTGAGACAGTAGATATTAAGGCTTGATAGAAACTCCGGCTGTTGCCCGCCTCGACATACTTGATAGGTTTTTCACCTGACGCATTCATAGGCACACGTCTGACCTTCCCAGCACTTAGAATATGAAGGCAAGCTTCCGTTATTGCCATTATCTTAAATTGGTGTGCGGATTGTTTATTGTAAAGAGGTTTCTTGTGTCAATAAAAACTCTGACTGAATACAAATAGGGACGAGGGACTTTCAGCATCTCGGGTATGTGGATAAGAAATACATGCTCACTGCATACTGTGATGGGATGCAAAACAAACAAGTTCATTTTTTAAGTAATTTGAGTCTAAACAAATGATGTGATTTCTATCCTGATTTGGCATTATGAATACACATTAACATTATCTGACCTTGGACAGTCTTTACCATTTTAATGCACTGAAACATAAATAGTGCATTTAACTTTTAACATCAATAACGTACAAAAATTCTACCATTATATAATGATCATTAGTTAATTAAAAAGCTAGTAGTGGGAAAAAAAAACTTAACCTTATGTATTATACATTTGTTTTTGTGTACAGCTGCAGTAAATACTACCCAGAACACCCTAGCAACCACTCAAAATACTCTTGAAACCTCAAAACAACACCCTAGCAACATGGCGTCAAGTCTTTCCAACGCAGGAATTACTTTGTCTTCATAAAATTTTAAAATCTAGTTAGAAATACAATAATACTTTAAAATAGTTAGAAATATCTTGAGACTATGATTTTCATATTCATATTTGAATATACCAGAACTACTGGTCTGTTAAGTATTATATTAATTCATATAAAAAGGCTATTGTAAAGGGTTACTGAGGTATTTATATTTTTATTTGTATAGACATTCCTGGAATTAATTTCTTCATTTATTCCATAAATAGATATTTAAAAAATACTCAATAATTACATGTGATAAGACATGAACCAAATCAACCAGCCTTGAAATGAATCACATTACAAACTGATTTAGAAGCAAAAAAAATTGGGAAAAAAGGAAAAAAAAAATGTTTAATTGAAAAAGGTTCAGGACTTTTTTTTTTTTGTAAATGAGGGAATATATATATATATATAATAAACTACTCATCCCATGAAGCACTGCACATTTATCTGCAAAAAAAAAAAAAAAACTTGGTTGCCATTAAAATATGAAGCAGCACAACTGTTTTCAACATTGATAGTAATAAGAAATGTTTCTTCAGCAGCAAATCAGCATATTAGAATAATTTCTGAAGGATCATGTTACACTGAAGACTGGAGTAATGATGCTGAAAATTCAGCTTTACCATCACAGGAATAAATTAAATTTTTTAAAATATATTAAAATAGAAAGCAGTTCTTTTAAACTGTAATAATATTTCACATTACTGTTTTACTGTATTTTTGATCAAATAAATGCAGCCTTCTTTCAAAAGCATCTTTCAAAAGCATCACCAACCCCAAACTTTTGAACGATATAGTGTATTTTTTTTTTATACAAAACATATATATTAATTTAATTTCAAAGCTCATGGTAAGTCTGTCTTTAAAGGTTTATGTGCTACCACTAAATATATATATATATATATATATATATATCTCATTAGTTCATAAAGTATCATTAGTTACTTTGTTCACTTTGTTTATGATTTTATGTGCTACCACTAAATATATATATATATATATATATATATATCTCATTTAGAGGAAGTCTCACCTGGTCTTTAAGCTGTTTGACGGAGTGCTGCAGGGTGAGGATGTGGCCGAACAGAGGGCTCTGCAGGGCTTCCTTCAGTGTGCCGAGTCTGTCGCTGTGGGTCCACTCTTCTCTCTGCACGAGCTTGGACTGAAGTCTTTCCAAGGCCTGGAGCACCTGCTGCCGCTCGGAAGCAGACACTGAGAACACACACAATCAAGATATTAACCATGCTAAGTCGGATTAAAGCATTATATGCTTGCTTGGATGAAAATCACAAAAATGAGTGATACCTGTCGGTACGTTCTCATACATTGTCGTTATCTTGAAAATTCAGTGCAGACTGATCTGTGAAAGTGGATGGAGATGGATTTGAACACTTTTAAGCTTCAATTTGATTTCAAAATTGATCAGTCAATAATGGCAAGTTACTAATACTAATTTAACGAGGCTACTAAATTGCTTTTTAAAGCAATTTTATGGAAAATATATACATTAAAATTGTTCTTTTTGAGTGTAATTTCCGTTAAAAAATTATAAAAATAGCAGAAATACTACTACTACTACTACTACTTATAATTTAATGGATGACATAGACCAAATAGTTGAAGTTTCAAATTTGTTATGTAGAGAAACATATAATAATAATAATGCAACTATAATAGTGGTTGTTATTATAATTTAATGAGCTGTACCAAACATTTTCATATTTATTCTACACACACACACCAAAAGTTCAATATAACGCATAATTAAACTTAACAAATAGAAACTACTTTTCAAAGTTATATTAATTTCCATGTTGACCTTGACTTTTTAAAATTTCCATAAAAATGGGAACCATGCAAAGTTATAATGCATAAATCATCAATCTTTCTCCAAAAGATGGTAGTAAATCTTTGTTTTACTAAATTTATGCTGGCATCATGCATTTATTTTCATGTGATCAAACAGAAATTAATACATCTTAGTAGTGTAAGACTCAAGTATCAATATATATAACCTGTAATGATATCTTTTAAAAGATCAGTTGGTAGTTTCTGTTCACGTGAGCAGCCAACTAAACAAAAGTGAGAGTATCTACCTTACTTACCTACAATATTCGTCCATACACTTGGTCTTGGGGTTAAATCAAATCTCTGTCAATTTGGAATCCCTCACAAAACACAATCCAGCATTCCAAGTATTGTTTAGGGCTGAGACTGAGTCCTGTTTTGTCTGTACGTGTGTGTTTACACCTGAGCGAGCCTCACCTGGAACCAGGAAGTGCGTGAGCATTCAAGTTTCCGTGAACTTTATTTAAGTTTAAACACAAGTTAACAAAGAAACCATTATGCAACTGAAGGATAAGAAGATGTTTATATCACTACTCTTCAATTAAAGCATTATTTATTGAATGTCATATGATATAAATTAAATAAACGCAATCAAACAGGTGCATACGCTTAAAACACCGAGTCACCGCTGAAATCAGTGCTCTAAAAACTTACTGACAGTCTAAATGAGACATTGAAGAATCATTTTATCAATCGAAACGTGCTTTGTTTTCAAATATCAATAATAAATCACAACTTTGAAAAGAATGAAAATACACAAACGTGCTCCTGCTTCCCAATACAAACCCCATTATGTGACACAGGCTAGCGCAGTTAGCCGGTTACAAAGTTGATTATCAGCATCAAACACCGCGAATAAGTTGAACCGACACTTGGTTTTAAAGGCAAACGTGCTCTAACGAAACAACCTGGCTTTGTTAAGTATATGCATAAAGTTAAAGGCGTTAAATAAGAGAATTACGAGAGACTTACACGCTATGTGTGCGGCGAATCTAGTGCACTGTTTCTTTAAGAGCTCCGTCAGTCACGTGACAGTTCAACATGGCGTTACACTGGAGGAGTTTGTTGCGCTTTCGCTCAACAACACGGCCGCTGATCATCTTCACCTTCTGCCTGACTGTCATTCACAGCCTGGGGAATGATGTGGACAACTGTGATAAACTGCAACTGGGACAATATCCTTTCAAAATCGCGTAAATATATTGCGATCGTTTAAATAGTAGCCGGCTAGCTAGCACTGTCGATGTTACTGGTGATTGATTTTAATATAAATGTACTAATTTAACTTAAAAATCATTATTTGATATAATTACGGCACAAATATTAGGTGTTGTGTTCTAGATTTGTGATTCAATCTTGTATTGAGTGATACAGAAAGTTATACTCATTATGCCCTAGCTTGCATGACCTATTTGAACATTTCAGATGTTTTTGTTACAAAAATGCACACATTGGTTAAATTTCTGTCTATAAGTGTTAAACTGACGAATAATAAACGGCACTGACTGCCACTGATTGTCTGTGATTGCTCATGAGTCATTCATCCATCACTATTGGAATTCAGCTTCACTCAATGTTGCTTCATGAATTAAATACCACTTAATTTCTCCTTAACAGTGCTCATGTATATGTGTAAAGAACCCAAAATAGATGATGCAACTCAAGAACCAGAAAACTGCAAGGACCGGTTGGCTTGGGGTGGGTCGGCTCTCTCGGCTGTGTACATTTGAACTACATTTAAACTATTTAAAATGCTGCTATTGTAGTGTGTAAATATACATTTAGTAAATAATTGAATTATGATAACAATATAAAATAATAAATAATTTCATGATATTTTTATAATCATATATAATATAGATAACATTATACATTTACATTAAATAGTATACGTTTATATTATGTATAATTTATTATCATTTTACATTTTTATAATAACTTTAATAATATAATCATGTAATACAGTATTATATAATATATAGTACTTTTATGTATTGTAACATATATTTTTAAATGTTTAGAAAAATGTATTATGTAAATTATGTACACTATAAAATGGAATTGTTCTACACTATATATAGGTGTAGTGTGTACATTTATATCATGTAAATAATATATAATGTATAATTAAAAAGTGTATTATAGTACTTAACGTATACATATATAATAATATTTGTAATATGATCAGTATAGTGTGTGAATATACATTTTATAAATAATATTACAATTATAATATAATTATTTTAAATAATATATAATTTATAAGGTATAATACATATTACATTTATAACTTGTTTTTTTAAATATATTATTATACATTTATATTAAACATTACATATTTTATAGATAATTTTTTTACTTTTATAATAGTTATACATAATCATGTAATACAATATTATGTAATATAATATTTTATGTATTGTAACATATATAATATTTTAATAATTATAATTATGCACTATAGTTATATATTATACACTACAATGTTGTAATCATTTTGTGTACTGTTATTATGTAATATAATATTTTATGTATTGTAACTATATATATATATATATATTTATAATTATGCACTATAGTTATATATTATACACTACAATGTTGTAATCATTTTGTGTACTGTTATTATGTAATATAATATTTTATGTATTGTAACATTAATCATAATTATTCACTATAATTATATATTAGGCATGCACTACAATGATGTAATAATTTTGTGTGCTAATGTTATGATTTTGTATAATTTATTTATTATAATAATTGTATATGTTTTTTAATATTTAATCATTTTGTGTTATAACATTTGTATGTAATTGTAAACATAACATAATCATATAAAATATGTATTTATTACATTTCATTATATACACTGAACAAAATTATAAACGCAACACTTTTGTTTTTGCCCCCATTTTTCATGAGCTGAACTCAAAGATCTAAGACTTTTTATATATATATATATGTATATGTGTGTGTATGTATATATGTATGTGTATATATATATTTCATTGTATTCACTTTTTAAAATATTTTATTTTCATTTGTTTGTGTTTCATAAAAATTTATGTGTATATAATGCCAGAATAGGTCTGAAACCAGCTACATGTGACTACATGACTATTAAATCGGGAATCTAAGGCTATGTTTCATTGCAGTGGAATGTCTACCTGCTCCAAACATCAGCTGTCGGCTGTCAAATGGAACACAGTTCAAATTCAGCGGTGAAGAGGTCGGGTTCAACAAAAGCATCCCGTGTCGAAATGTGTAAGTCAAACTTACTCTGGCTTTGAGTATGGATTATTCATATTTGTAAATAATCTGTGAATATCTTTAAACAATATGGATGTTTTGTTTTACATTAGGAGCGGTTACTCATACAAAGTAGCTGTTGCGCTGTCACTCTTCCTGGGATGGATTGGGGCCGATCGGTTTTACTTGGGATATCCAGCCTTGGGTAAAAAAAAAAGTACTACTTGACATTTATTGTTGGTCTTTTTGGTCCATTCTTTATAGACACTGTGAGATTTAAGACAGGAAATTATAGAAAAGTGAAATCTGTAAATGTTGCAAACCAGATTCGAACTTGGCTAAATGTATAGGCCGCTAGGCCATGGATCCAACGCTGCATTTTTCCCTCTTTGGCTGTGTGCCGTAGCCCGAAATCACCCATTTACCCATCAATAATGAAAATATCTCATGCCTGTGCTGTGCTGAAACACCAGAGACCTTTAGAACAGACACAATCAGTCCTGGATATTCTGCTGTTGACATCATCTCTTGTTTCCTTTCCAAGGACACACCTTTTCGCCAGATGTTCTCAGAATAAAAATCACACAGACTGATTTTCTTGCACTGATCTTGATATTTTTCTTGCACTTGATGATTTTAAGAGGCAGATGCACATTTCAGCACTGACATTGAAATTTGGTCTGATACGATAATTATTATGGATATATACTGATAATTATTATGATTAAGATATGACAGTAACCAATATAATTGTTGATTAGTGATCGACCAATATGTGTTTTTTCTTAATGCCCGATCCTCGTAATGCAATCTAGAGAGCAGGGTGTCTCATATTATCATATTATATATATTTTTTTATTTTTAATTCTTCAAAATTCACTAAAAGAATTAGTATTATTTTTTTTTAGGATATACTAATAGTTTTTATTATTTTCTGTTTTCATTTTATTTTGCTTAATTTTTTTGTTTTATTTGTGCTTTTATCATTTAATTAGTTTTGTTTTTTATTCTAAATTGATTTCTTTCTGTTTTAGTTTTGTTTCAGTTAGTAATTTTAGTACTTAAGATAGTTGCCAAGGCAGCAATTCAAATTTTTGGCTAGTTTAAGTTTTTCATTTAATATTTATATTTTATTTTATGTCAGCTTTATTTGAATTAACAAATACATTTTTTAATAGTTTGTTTTATTTAATAATAACAACACTGATCTATTTTTTTTGTTTATTTTATTTATTTATTTATTTTTACTACAATGCAATAAATAATTACCACATCATATTAATGAGGAAAATATCTCATGCCTGTGCTGTGCTGAAACACCAGAGACCTTTAGAACAGACACAATCAGTCCTGGATATTCTGCTGTTGACATCATCTCTTGTTTCCTTTCCAAGGACACACCTTTTCGCCAGATGTTCTCAGAATAAAAATCTGAGAACTCTTTTTCTTAATGCCCGATCCTCGTAATGCAATCGAGAGAGCAGGGTGTCTCATATTATCATATTATATATATTTTTTTTTTTTTAATTCTTCAAAATTCACTAAAAGAATTAGTATTATTTTTTTTTAGGATATACTAATAGTTTTTATTATTTTCTGTTTTCATTTTATTTTGCTTAATTTTTTTGTTTTATTTGTGCTTTTATCATTTAATTAGTTTTGTTTTTTATTCTAAATTGATTTCTTTCTGTTTTAGTTTTGTTTCAGTTAGTAATTTTAGTACTTAAGATAGTTGCCAAGGCAGCAATTCAAATTTTTGGCTAGTTTAAGTTTTTCATTTAATATTTATATTTTATTTTATGTCAGCTTTATTTGAATTAAGAAAAACGTTTTTTTTTTATTTTTTTTATAGTTTTAGTTAAAGGTCCCGCCTCTCGAGGAAAAAAAAATATTGCGCTCGCCTCGCGGTAGTAGCTCATTTTCTCATGGGCGGGCCAAATTCTCTGGGCAGGCAAAGCAGAGAAAGGGGAGGTAACCTTTCCCCGTATGACGACATAAAGGGAAGATTCTTTTTTGTTTTATTTGTGCTTTTATCATTTAATTAGTTTTGTTTTTTATTCTAAATTGATTTCTTTCTGTTTTAGTTTTGTTTCAGTTAGTAATTTTAGTACTTAAGATAGTTGCCAAGGCAGCAATTCAAATTTTTGGCTAGTTTAAGTTTTTCATTTAATATTTATATTTTATTTTATGTCAGCTTTATTTGAATTAAGAAAAACGTTTTTTTTTTATTTTTTTTATAGTTTTAGTTAATGATAACAACACTGATCTTTTTTATTTATTTATTTTATTTCTTTACTACAATGCAATAAATAATTACCACATCATATTAATGAGAATCAGCATAGGGAATAACGTTAATTATATAAAAATAAAACTTAAAAACTAAAACATCCAGACATAAATGTACTTAATTATCATGAAAATAATGTCTAAATGAAATAAATAAATGAATGTAGACATGTGACCTGGATATGTTTTATACAGGTTGTGTGGGAGTCCCTCCATCAGCCATGGTTTAAAAGCCAAAAAAACTTTGATTAAAGTTTTGATTAAAGACTGGTTATTAAAGTGTTTTTGGCCTCTCTGTTAGTTAGAGGAACTCTAGACCTTCCCCTTTGACAACGATATTAACAATCCCCACCAGGTCCACGCCTGTTTTGAAAATAAACTCCTGAGAGAAATCCCAGCGCACACTGACGTCATGAAACTAGTTCATAGTGCTTTTAAGAAAAGGTACATGCTGTTCACACGTGAGGCAAACAGTATCAGCCCTTACAGAGCTGTAGATCACGCGCTGCTTTTCAGAACATGCGAGAAACCCATCGATGACCCTTTTGTGGGCACCTTGCTCATTTTTTGGCACCAGCTGTTTTAACAAAACGAATCAGCATGCGACACAACTAATTAACTAAAACGGTTCTCCTTTACCATCAGATCTCACGGTGTTCATCTATCCCATAGTGCAATTATTGTCATCGCTTGCAGATGAGTTCAAGTCGTACATCTAAATCCCAAGGCAGGATACAGCGGGAAGCTCCGTCTTTCTGCCTCTCTCCATGTTTTAAGGACTTCCTGATCAATTAAGCACCTGCTTTAGCACAAAAGGGCCTGGGCATTTGAAGGTCCCCCTTGTTCCCGGCTTCTTTGTGCGAGAGTGCCGGAGTTTGTGAAAGGCAAGCTCACACCGCGCTGGAGTCAGTTGTATAGACGTGTTCATTGAGAGCGTAATGGCCCAGCAGCTCTGAGGTCAGTCCAGACTAGGTGGGACTCAAAGGAAGGCCTGGACTTGTTGAGAAGACATTGTGCAGGTGGCATTTTTGATATCCGTCCTGAAATCAACATGCCTAAATCCCTCAAAGACCAATTATAAGTAATATTAGAGATGATTAGCAGCAATTATGTTTGAATGGAAGGATGGAAGGGGGTTTTTAATGGACTGCAGATCTCATGGGTTCCTGATGGTGTTTTTCAAATGATCACTCAGTGGACGTCCAAAGTAGGCCCATATAAATTTAAACCAAACTTGTTTATTTTGTGGCAATTATGCGTGGATATTATAAACTTGGCTCATGAATATTAATTAAATGACATACCATTCTACCTTATTTGCTGGAGGGCATTAAAGTAAGTCTTTAATGCACAAAATCCTCGAAATTCTTCAGACGGAAACAAGCCGATTTAAGTTCTACGAATTGGCTGATTTGAACTTACAACCTTGCACAGTGGTTTGAAAACTTCACCAGTAGTAGTCTGCACTACTGCAAGCATGAAAAAAACACTTCCTTAGGTGCACAACAAATGGCTTTGCCCTCAAAATTGTTTTTCTTTGTGGTCATATGGAGAAGCCAGTGAGAAAGTGCTTTTGGACACAGATTGGTTATGATGGGAGGCTTTGTAGTATGTTCTTGGTTAACGTGTGGCTCACTCTTTGTTTGCTTCTAGGCCTGTTGAAATTCTGCACTGTGGGGTTCTGTGGAATTGGAAGCTTAGTGGACTTCATGTTGATATCCATGCAGGTAAGGCTTTTGACCCATTTATTGATGTATGCATTTCCTTCTGCCTTTTTTCCTCGCTTCATGTTGTACTTTGCTTTCACTTAGGGCAGAAAAAAAATTTGATTTTGGAAATTTTTTTGTGACTTTTTTTTTTTTTTTACAACTGTCATGAAATGTCTGGTTCATATTTCAAGAAAAAATAAACAGTTTGTTATTTAGGAATTATTTTTTATTATTTTTTTTAAAGAAATTATATTTATATTATATAAATAAAAAATAAATAGATAAAATTTTTGATTATAATGTAATTATTAATAATATGAATTTACATTTTTAATTATTTATTTTAATTTTGCGGTGAAATATGACATTTCTTCACAAATCCTACAAAGGGGTGATCTATGAGCTATCACCATTGTGCCATTTGATCAAGACCTTTAATAAATATACTGTAAGTCACTTTGGTTAAAAGCGTCTTCTAAATGATTACTAGATTACATTTAGCATATTAGGGGAGTAACCAGGGGAGGCACTTTACCCACAATCCCCTAAATGAGCTCCAAACACAGAGACTCAGCACTGACTTGTACTTGAATGCTTGTGTTTGTATTCAGTGGCACCTGTGTCTCTCCTCCAGTGCCTCCAGCACTGTGAAAGGAGCTAATGAGAGCGTGGTTTGTTTTCGCCTCCTCGTCCTTTCCCGAGTCGCACGCTCCCACAGGACTCCCCTAACCCCTATTCTATTAAAGGCCCCCTACACCTGACAAGAGAAAAAAGCCGCTCCATTTGTCATCTTGTTAGGCCTAACCTCACCCACTCCACTCTCATTAGGCCTCACGGTCCTGAATGAAACTGTACATGAGAGACGTTTGCTCACTGCCGCCACTTCCACACACCACTGATGACAGATATTTATGGAAAGCTCTTATGTGTGTGGCTCCAGGAATAATTATTACACGTACTTTAGAATTCCGCTGACTGCTGCGTCATACAATATGTTGGAAATGTTTGCGTCTCCCGCTGCTAGTGAAAACAGACATATTTTTTTTTAGATTTGCTCAGATGTGTCTGAGCTACTGTACGCTGGGGGAACAATGACCTGATGTCTTCCGACATGTTTCAGCATGTTGGAAAAGATCAGGACAGGACAGCGTGTTACGATACCTTATTTGTCGTTCGTCTCAAGAATAACATGTTTATCAGGAATATGCATAATTTTTAAGCTTTAAAAGTTCTGGCCTTTCAGTCTCTTTCAAATTTACTGATTCAATAAACATTGTGCGCCTCAAGTCCTCCATACCTGGTTCGATTATTCGTAGTCGCCTACAGCGCACTACCTCAAAACAATACCTGTCCATTCATTGACAATTTCACACTCCTGCCAGTTTATCATCACTCCTTTAGTCGTTTTGTTTTCCTCCTCGGAAATACCCACTCTTTTCTAGTCACAGTGGATAAATAAAGCAGGCCTTTATTTTTTTAAATGGCCGTGGCGGCTTTGATTAACAGGGCCACTGCAGTGTTTATTGTTCTCTTAATGTCTTATTGAAGGCCCTGGGAGAGCAATGCTTTTAAGAAGTGCCTCTGGCAGCCAAAGCTGTCACGCGCTAACATTCTCAATTAGCTGTCGACTGTCGGGCCTCTTCATTTTTTAAATTGTGACATTTTTGATAAAGAGTATCCCCTTCCCTCAGGACCCCATTTGCACACATCTCTCCTCTCTAAAACCTCATATTTTATACTCTAAACTACCTTCGCTAAGAGCCACGTCGTCTGGGAAATGCATCTTTGAGAAACTAATGAATAAACACCGGGGACATGTTACTGTTATTTATATTCATCGATATTCCCTCCCGCAAGTCGCCCCACGTTTTGCCTTTTGAAAGTAATGATGCAAGATTAACGGTGCTGCGAAACTAGGTTTGAGAGTGGATGCATCAAGCGAATTTGATGGATCGCATGTTAATGGTATGAGAGAACATGAAACTCTAGTTGACCGCCACACCGATCTAGACAACTCTCGGCCGATACCATTGCAAGAGGAAATAGCTTGTATTGGGCCGCTGCCAGACGAGCGCTAATCTCGATATGGTAGAACACAGTGTCTGTGTTTGGTGGGCGCCTTTCTCCCTCTACCAGATGTGTGTTGTCATTATCATCCCGTCCCAAAGCGGAGTGGAGCAGAGCCGGCAGGGCCAGGTGTTGGGCACGTACGCCTGCAGGAAGCCATTACACCGTCTTTGTGCATCAGTCCAAGCATGTTGTTTGGATAGTAGCTGATCTCAGAACTGGCACGGGCCCCAGTTTGAGCTCTAGGCTCATTGCTGAAGCTCTGATCTGGGGACTGTCCTTCGGGACACTCCTCCTCACCAGGACTCCAAAAGCAACCTCAATTACAGCACTGCCTGGGGTTAAACTTAAATTGCCTCCAATTCGGCATTACTGTCTTATAATTCAATTGTACGAGCATGAGCCATCTGAGGAGGACGATAGACCCTACCAGCCCACCTGGTATTCATCATTGTGTAATGTGGAATCATGTAATTGTCTGGTGAAAGATTACATTGTTATGTAGGTCTCCCTACGCTGCTCTGACATTTGAGACTCATTCTGTTTGCTCTGGTGTAGATCGTGGGTCCATCAGATGGGTCAGATTACATTGTGGACTACTACGGGGCACGCCTCACCCGTCTTTCGATAACAAACGAGACCTACAGAAGAACGCAGCTCTCTCCGTGAAGACACCAGGTGAGGATCTCTTTGTCAAAGCAGTGACTTTACTATACAACTTTACTATACAAGGTTGAATGGGATAGTTGTGAACCCTGTCACACAAAACCAGCAGAGAGAACAGGACAAGGGGCGTATGGGTAAGTGGCATATTTTGAAAGTTCTTCAAAGACTTTTTAATAATGCGGTGAGTCAAGGTCAGTGGTGATCTCGAGTGACCTCCTGGGGTATCAAAGCAAACTGGCAGACCAAGGACACCTTCAGCTGTGCTCTAAGCCCCTGTCCACCGCCCCTCACTCTCCTGTTCCCCAGAAGGGGCTCCCCGCTCTGGGGAGAGAGAGCGATTAAATGTCAGATGTGCCGAGGGGATGTTGGGAAAACACAACGGGGTCGTGAGATTGCACTTATTATGGCTGGCACCAGGGCTGCATCTGTTGAATTTTGTCTTGGTACTCCACACACACGCTCTTGCAGACATCCCCCGTATCCAAAAGAAAATAGTGGCCGCATTGTAGACGATTCCTTATATCTGTCTGTCCCCTATCAGTTTCTGTTTCCTGCCAGTTCGGCACTCTGGTTAACATTTGCTGCCGCAGTGGTAATGGTAGTGACAGGTTGTTATGTGGAATGGGACCCATGTGGAGGCCATTACTTGCTCTCCTGTGTTTACGTTGTTCCAGTGTAAGCCTCCAAAGAGACAAGGTCTCCGTCCCTGATTCACTCAGCCACATTCACCACATCTCCTTGTCTCTTTGCCCCCCTTTTCTTCTAGATCTCACTTGCTTTTACCCAAAACTCACTAGGAGAGTTTCATGAGGCAAGTCTAATCTAAAAGCAAAGGCATTTTCAGTAGAGAACTGTAACTGAAACTAAGTCCAAGACTAGATTTATCGGTGTTTGACTTAAAAATATTAGGACACCACCTCAGACCATCATCCTTGCTATTTCCTTATAGCCCGATCCAGATTAGTTGATCTAACATTATATCTAGTGCTATATCAAGACAATCAGCCCTTGATCAGCCAATGTAGATCTTGATAAAGTATGCCAGATATAGACAAGACGCCTAGATTTAGACAAAGCAACCCGCGTGTCAAATGGTCCAGTTGTATCTTAAGGGTTCAATGGCTTGTCACTGGGGCAGTACCCTTAAAGTACCTTATCTACCCTTAAAAGGTGAATATTAGTACCTTAGAGTAGTAATAGATACTCTGAAGTTACTACCATGAATATTTCAGGGTAAATAAGGTTCCGATATGTCCCTTTGAGGGTTCTGCCCCAACAACAAGCTATTGTACCCCTAAAGGTACAATGTATTTATATATTTTTTTCTGACAATATACAGGGCATGAAAACCTCTGATAAATGTCCTAGAACCAACTTAATCCTTCTTCTGTTTTTCTCTGTTTCATTCTTATAAATAGGTTTCCCGTGTTTACATCAGCTCTGGAATGAATCCAGAAACACAAATGATGTTTCTCGTATAGGAAAAATGACACTGATCCATTTTCAGCATTGGAAACATTCCCTGCCACATGTGTCCTCTCCAATGTGGGAAGAGACTGATTTATCTTCTGCTTGTGTTATCCTGGACCTGCTCCCAAACAGATCTAACTCTTTCCATTCTGCCATTTCAGGTGGATCCCAATTGAGATGACCTACCAAATGTAAAGGATCGTGTTATGTAAATCCCATCTTTTCTTTGGATATGCCTTTGCCGTTTCCAAACACAAAGACACATGGACATGCCAAACTACGCTCTGGGAAAGACTAGCCCATGTCTGGAGTTTGCAAACATGGCTCATGCATGTGCTGAGATAGCGCTGGTCCCTCTCTCCAAATTCTTCTCGTATCCTCGAGAAGCTGTTTTTTCCACTGGGCCACTCATGTCCTCTATCACTCTCTCTCTCTCCATCTCTCCATCAATCAGTCTCTTCCTTTGAGTCATGCTTGGAATGTCATCCATCTTTTGTTTCTTTTCATTCCTGTCCTCACTAGCTTCATATTGTTGGACATTGTGTGATGTTTTGATGTTATTTAAACACTGTAAATAAAGTTTTATTATCATATTCTGCGCTGACATGTTTTCTACTTTGCATTGTTAGTAGAAATGTGCAACTCATTGGTTTCCATATTGGTAGCGACCAATATTAGTGGATGTTGATTTTTGTCATTGACCTGAATTGGCCAATATTAGGAAGGCAATTTTTCTGATTCAGATGCTATATTTGTATATTGTATCTTTTTTGTGTGTGTGTGTGTCAGCTATCATATTTGTATTGGCCGTAACATATGAATAATATCTGGTATCAGTCAAAATAATCTCTAATTGTTAGATATCATATAATATTAGGTTGTTACACCTTTTAGGTGTCTTGTAAAAGTGGTCCATCGTTATCCCCTCTGATCTTCAAACGGTCTGTGTCGGACCAATGTGAAGTGCTCCTTCAATTTCACTTGAGTGCGTCTGCTTGTCTGCCCTGTCTCAGTCCATCACATCGCCATTAATACAGACTCCTGTAGAGGCTCTTCATCACGCTGAAGTGATGGCGGAGCAGGCCCGACTACGCCAATGTGTGTGCGTGCACGTGCATACGCGCACGCTCCCTTATGAACTGCAGTGTCCTTGCTACAACACATACGACTCTGCTTGGATATGTAAAAACAGATTTAGCACATTCCCCAGCGGCTGTGATGACGGGTGACCAGTGCTGCTTTGGGACTCTTCCCAAGCTCTCCTGAGCCTGCTTTAGGCATAACTATAAATCTCTATGAAACAATAGTTTGGACAGCAAGGATTCGCACAGTTTTAAGATGTTCAGTGACTTTGAAAAGCAACCGCATGGTTCAATCTGAAGTGTCATTCATGTTCGTAGCACTAACTGTGTCAGTTAGGCCCTGAAGTTTACTACTTATGTTTGGGGATTTGAAAACCCTTAACCATAAGTATGAGCAAAAATAACAATGCACCGCTAAGAGTTTGAATTGATTTAGATTAAGTATATCATTTAATACAGCTGTCAGAGTTGTTAAATGTCTCCCTAAAAATGGAGAACAAGATAACTTTGATCTTTTAATATAAAAGAAACAAAAGTGATTCATGTGCAAAATGTTTTCCTAACCCTCTCCGTCCCTTTCTTGTACCTCTTTTCTCCTCCTCTCTCAAGCTCTTTTCTTGTTCCCCGGCAGTGCAGAGCTTATCAATAGACCAGCCGGATAAGAGACCATAGATTTATAGTGCACTTCCCACAAGAGAGAGCAGCAGCTCTGGGACTGCACCCTCCCTCAGTGCGGAGGAGGCCATTCCTCATCCGGCCCTGGTGTTTTATAGGTGCAACCTCCATCTCTCCCTCTCCCGCTCTCAGGCCCTTTGAGATGGAGAAAAATTAAGAGGAGGAAACAGCTTAGAGGAGGCATGGGGTGCTCTCTTTCTTTTACCCGTCCAAAAACAACAAACTCCCAAAAGAGGGGTGAAATAATCCTGCATTGCAGACCACATTGATTCTTTATGCAGCTGCATCAGGTGGGGAAATGGGTCCAAAATGTATTATTCCTTTACTCGTTCACTATTTCCTATATGGTGCACGCCACGTAGTGCACTATATGGGGAAAAAAGATAAGGAAAATGAGTGCGTGAATGTGGTGTCTGGGTTAAATGAGCAACAGAAAAATGCTCTATATAGTGCACTATATGGGGAAAAAAGATAAGGAAAATGAGTGCGTGAATGTGGTGTCTGGGTTAAATGAGCAACAGAAAAATGCTCTATATAGTGCACTATATGGGGAAAAAAGATAAGGAAAATGAGTGCGTGAATGTGGTGTCTGGGTTAAGTGAGCAACAGAAAAATGCTCTATATGCGAATCTTGTAGTGGAAAATTACAATAATAGTTTCATTTGTTATTACATATGCAACTTTTAGTTTTTTTGGTTTTAGGGATGGTATGATGATTCAATAGATCTGTGTCTGTATTTAATAATATTTATTTATTTATTTGAGCTCAGCAGTCTTTTCCCCATTGGATTGTGCATAAAAGAGTGAATCGTATAAGAAAATTAAGTGCTTGCGGTATTTAAATAATACACCCTATACAGTGCACTATATGAGCGATTTAGCAGCTAAAACGTTTTTTATGCATGTTTGAAAGATTTACACATGTTAGCAAAAAATTTGCTTGAAATTTCAAAGGCCTATGGCTGAACTTGCCTTCTTCCTTGTCTTCTGTCCACCGGAGGGGTTTGATGCACAGAGACTCCCAAGTCAAGATGACACTAAACAGCGCAAATAGGAAATGGATGAGATCATGGGGCCTGTAAAGTTTTGTGTTAGTCTAAATGGACGTTTCTGAGGTCATTCGATGGCCCCAAAAAGTATCTTAACATTTAAGCCACACTTCAAAATGTTCAAAATGACAACAGTGATTCAAATTCAATGACATTCAGACATTTTTAAGTGTGATTTAAGTGTCCAAATACTTTTTGGGGCCACTAGCCATATTGTTACATGTGTTTGATGTGATAAGATGTGGACAGGTCCACAGCTGCAAAATCCCACAGTGAGTGCAGAATCTCTATTCCCTTCCCAGAATTCAACAGTCTTGAAATGTGATCACCAAGAAACCCCTGCCCTGCAATCACCACTTCTCTCTCTCTCTGTCTCTCTATCATCTCTAAACCTGTGGTGCATTGAAGTGCAGATGCAATCATGAATGGAGCGCTCATACACTCGTGATATTGACAAGCATTTCTGGTTGACACTGTGCCAAGCAAGCTGTCCTTGTCACTCTCGACAGCCTGTAAAGAAAATGATGATCAAATTCCTTCTGTAACAGAGCTCTGTTATACCACCGATTTCTGGCCTCCTTGATAAACTCTTTCTGATCAAAGCTTTACATGTCCTAATACTAAAATAAATGGAGGCCTGTTTCAATGTAATTTTTTAATTGCAACTTTAAATGTCACAAGTACAATCAATTTTGGTAACTGCTGCTTTTACTTTTTTGGTAATTTATGCTTTATATCTCATAATAACGACTATTTCTCTCAAAATGTGACTTTTTCTCTGAATTTCTACTTTATTCTCTTTAATTGTGACTTTATATGTCAAAACTGCAAGGACTGTATTTCTCGTAACACTTCTTAATTTTAACATTATTTCAAAATTGCAGCCTTTTCTTTCAATTGCAACTTTTTTCTCACAGTTGTGACTTTATAACACAAAATTGCAACTACTACAGGTGCATCTCAATAAATTAGAATGTCGTGGAAAAGTTAATTTCAGTAATTCAACTCAAATTGTTAAACTCGTGTATTAAATAAATTCAATGCACACAGACTGAAGTAGTTTAAGTCTTTGTAACTGATACTTTTTGTAATTTATAAATGACTTCTCATAATGCAACTCTCAATTCAGTTTTTTCTCACTACTGTGACTTTTTTTCTCATGATTGTGAATTTATATCACATTTGTGACTTTATATTATGTGACTTTATATCTCACATTTCTGACTTCATTTCTTATTTTAAACTTTATCTCAAATGTGGCAACAGGAATCCAAGAAGAAAATGAAAAACATGAGGTGAAATTTCTCATGAGAGCAAAAGCAATCAGTTAAAATTAGTTTCTTCTTCAACGGTGTCTAATTGCACTCATAACCTCTTGCATTACAGAGACATCTGCCTTATATGGACGGATTGATGGTGTCAAAACAGTCTTAGCTTTTGTTTATTGTGCAAAAACAAGTGCAAGTCACACATACTAACAGGTCAGACTCCCAATAGTTACCGTTTACGAAGACTGTGCGTGTGACCTTCAATCCAAGCGTGGTCTTGTAAGCTAATCTGCTTGCCTCCTCACTGTGTGTGTGTGCATTAGCCTGCTAGAAACGAATCGAGTACTGTGTCGTGGCTCTCGACGCAGTCTATGACTCAGCAGAAACGCAGTCTGTCATCGTCTCCCGTCATCCGCACAGCCCCACTGCAACGAAGCTGCGGACGCAGCACGTTGGTAGGGAAGATTCATGGCGCTGGCATACCGCACCGTCTCACCTCTGAGTCAAACACCCCGGTGGCGTGGACAGAGCTCATCCTTGCTGATGGAGACGCCATGACAGCATAGAGAAATCTTTGTTCGCCAGCTGTCCCTGATTTTACAAACATTTTACACACCTCCCTCCACCTTTCCCCATTTCTTCTAAAGTACATCCTGTTTTTTTGGCCAAGTTTTTGGCTGGGAGATCCCGCGCAAACTTGGGTCCTGCGCTCGCTATAGTTATTCAGGGTCACGCGTCATGTGTGTTTAATCAAAATTCAATTACTGTGCCGCACCACGCTCCAAAACCCCACAAGCCCAGGTTATGAAGTATGATGAAACCGGCCCCGGCCCTAATTGCTTCAGTATGGAGCCAATATCTCCCTAGCATGTTATGATAAATAGCTTCCTGTGCAGGAGGTATGCGAGTCCAGCGTCCCCTCCTCAACTTCTCCTGGTCTCCTTCTTTCTTTTTGTGATTCTCGTTTTCTATCCACACGTGTTTTACAGGACTCTGATCAGTCCGGTGGGATGCAGGTCAAGGTTGTGGTGGTTTTTAGAGTAAGGCATGTTGCGAGCGCTGCAGTGGTGCTGTCACAAGAGTTTAAGCCATGATCTGACTGTATTACCATTATATGTTCACAAAAAAGTATTACAAGTACTTAAGGGTTTTATTGAGCACAGAGCCAAAGTAGCACCATGTTTTTGCTTTGTTTTGGACAAGTTTAAGGTTTGTTGTCCAAAGAAAACCACGGAAAGACATTATATGTATATACACACACACACACACACACACACGTTTTCTGAGGTAAATGTAACGTTATAACAAGCCATTATATAGACGCCTTTCTTTTCTTTCTGAAACTAATTGGGTGATTACAAGAGACATGATACATTTCAGTAAGTTGTACTGTTTGTAGGATCGGTTCACGTGTGCGTCGCGCTGCTGCTTGAACTAATGGTGTGTGCACACCAAAAGCAAAGCAAATATTCTCATCATGTACTCGCTCTAGATTACTCGCTGGATGTTTTACACTAGGGTAAAAAACA